TCGAGATGCAGCATTCATGCCGAGAAGACCAACCAGTCACCCAGTTTCAACGAAAACTATCGAGAATCCCCGTCCCAAAGGATGGAGAAGGTTTCGCCACAAATCCTGCAAGGCGAACAACCCATCGTCGTCGCCGAGGAGGAGACGAAACGCTGGCGACAAACAAACCCACTCCTGATTGCGAATGTGAGTAATTTAATTTAGGTTTCAGTAATTAATTTCCATGCATGTACTGTTGAGATTTTATCGCACAAAAAATATTTCATGAGATTATTTACGCCGTCTCATATTCCCTGATAATAATAATTGCTGAAAATGAGTCAGATTTCTTTGCGACATTTGACAGTACATATATTTTTAAAATTACCAAATTAGAATGGTTGTTCTGTATGCACTGCATACAGAACAGGCCAACCACGTGCGTGCTATGCACGTGGTATGTCCTTATTTAAGGTTACGATTCATGAATCCTACAAGTATGCCATGCAACGGCTAATTGTTTCTCTGGGTTGGTAATTAACTTGAACAATATTAGCTTACACTTGTTATATATTTACATATTTGTTTATGTTGGATTATAAAATTTGATAATTGAATTGAACTGGTTGCCTAAAAATACGAGATTTCGATGGAATTATTACATTCAGAAAGTTTCATGGCAGTTTTTTTTGGTTGTATGCGTAAGAAGCCGTTTATCATTTGTTAGTAGTTGAGTTAATTGTGAGTTTAGGGAGATTAGACCTCGTTGTAATGAGTACATGTGAGGCAGATTGAGACATCCAATGATGATTTGAATATAAAATCATCCAACACAATGGTTTATCGCTTTAAAATAAAAATAAGAGGCATATTGAGACAACTACTTATATACACAATTAAATTATAACAATTAAGCTTTCTCTAATGCTTCATTTTACTTCAATGCAACCATTTTATGAATATTTTTCTCGTGCTCAGAATATTTTGCGAGTTTTATGAATAATTATCCAATCTCGATAATTACATTATGACGTAACTAATATCCCCCAATCTATTTTCCCAGGTCGTGGAAAAAATTTTCCCCTACTTGGACCACGCCTCCCTAAAGTCCTGCCGAGCCGTGTCCTCCCTCTGGTCCGTCATGTCCACCCCGCTGGTCCGAGCCTGCTCCCAGATCCACCTCGGCGGCGACCTCTACGACAACCGGGGTGACGCCCTCTTTTCAACGTTCTACTCCTCCCCCACCACTCCCATCACTGACACCCTGCCCATGACCAGCCTCACCTACAACTTCCACCACACCCCACCCCTCTCCTCCTGCATCCTGTTCGACCGAGTGTCCCGTGTCTTCGCCACGTTCGGTCACTCCCTCACCTCCCTCACCCTGCAAGCCTTCGCCCTCCAAGACCCCGCCAATTCCCTCGACACGCACCACTTCTTCTCCGTCGTGCCGCACCTTGTAGGTCGCGACTGTCCCTCGTTAACCCATTTGGCCTTGACCCACCTCCAAAATCTCGATATTGAAGGCTCCCTCGACCCTAAAACCGAATCCTGGCTGAATTTCACGTCCCCTTCGGTCCGACACTTGACCATTGCCTACAAATCGAACCACCGCGTCCGACCGAGACGTGCCTTGTCAGTTTTGAAATGCCTTCTCGCCATCGCCCCCAACGCGACCAGCCTGGACACCAACTTCGGCTACTGTGGGGGTCAAAGCTTGTCCTACTTCCTCACGACGTTGAGAGATGCGCAGATTTCGGACCACCTGACCAGCTTCTCCCTGAGCGGTGGCCCCCTCGACAATGTTTCGATGAACGCTCTGAACTCCATGACCTTCCCCAGACTCACCTCGCTCAAGATGAATACCTTTATCTCGGCCCAAGTGCAGACTGAATTTATCCAGTTTTTGGAAAAGTTGAGCCCAACTTTGGAAAAGTTTGTCATGTTTGGCGACAAATCACCTGGGTGGGAGGAGAGAATGACGATGTATGAGGGAGGGTTTACGGTGGATTTTCCCCTCATGCCGAAACTCAAGGTGGTTGAGTACCAGGATTATGAAAGCTTGCGATTTGGGAGTGAAGATTTTCTGCAAAGATTGCCAAATTTGGGGGAGTTGGTGATTCGCGACGTTCAACTCTCCTTGGCAGACTTGATGCTTTCACAGCGCACCTTGTACGGGACCGTGTTCAGTACGAGGAGGGGGGAAATCACGGAGAAAAATCCAATTTATGCCAACGTCCATGTCAAGAAGGTCGTTCTTGATAAGGTCTTTTTCCCCTCGAGTGAAAATCTGGGGTCGATGGAGAAACTGTTGAAAATGTTTCCGAACGTGGAAGAGTTGGAGTTAGCTGTCAGTTTCGCTTACCAAGACGTGTACGTGGGTCAAGTTTTGGATATTTTGGCCAAAGCGAAGGTCAAGAAGCTTAAGATCAAGTTTTTGGATTGTGCTGAACTCAAATCTGTGAGGGTTGCGGCGCCATTTCGGGCAGCATTGGCGAATTATTTGGCCAAATTTCCTGGTAAGTTAATTTCTATTATTCTTAGTGAGGCAAATACCTAACAACGAAAAAAATTACTAAGTATGCATTTGACCCACCCTAAAAAAGTGACCATCTGCGATATCTCAGTAATTTCTCAACCGATTTTGATGAAATTTTGCACCGATTATTGTTACATAATATAGAAACGGGATCTGATCCGACTAAGCGATTACGTGATCTTGACCGGAATTATGGGCAAAAATGTAGCCTTAGAAACACATTTGTAATTATTGTTAGTTACTAGCAAACTTTATCAACAGTTTGATACCCACGAATTGTAGGGCAGTTTATCCCGAAAATTTTAAGTATAAATATATCAAAATCTGTTAAGAATTGGCTTAGTTAATCCAATTTGAAGTTCAGAAATTCCGTGCGTGCTACAAATCATTGTCATTGACAACGACGCAAGACTAATAAATTGAAAACAAATTAAATATTCAAAACTGTAAACAGCACAACTATTTAATCGTTGTTTCTGTAACACTTTTGGTAAACTGCGTGAAATTGTTGTTGGTGTTGCACCTTCAGATCAGGTCTTTTGGTATTTAGTAATCTAGCCGGACATGTTGACCAAAATGATGTAAATCGGTTAAGAAATAACGGATTTATTCAGTTTTAAATACCCAGCATTTAATAAAATTATTCCGGATCAAACTAATGAAAAGGAGTAGTGCAGTGCAGTAATCCCATGGACAATTAAAAGTTATAAATAAACAAGGTCCCTAAAAAGGGGAAATCTTAGTGAGGTAGTGCAATCATAATTAATAAATAAAATTAGATTGCAGAATTTTTGCATCACCGCTCTCGGTTCCATTTTTTTTAGGATACACTATAAATTTTGCTTCGCATACGAATGAATTCTTAATTTTATTGAAAAAATTGAGGTAGGAATGCATTTTTACTATATAGTGAACGATAAGTGGGTTAAATTACTTGCGATATACAAAATATAATGGCTGAACAATTGTGAACTATGTACGTACTTATTTGTTTAAAAAAGATACAAATCTATAATTTCAATTCAATATATTAATTTGGATATTCTATTCAGACAAAATCATCGGACGTTTTGAGGGGGCAAGTGTTATACTTAAACGATTAATGCTCCAAGTTAAAAATGGAACCAAGAGCGGTGAAGCAAAAATTCTGCAATCTAATTTTATTTATTAATTATAATTGCACTACCTCACTAAGATTTCCCCTTTTTAGGGACCTTGTTTATTTACAAATGTGTACATTTTGAAAAATCTGAAAAGATAAAAAATATTATTATAAGTATTGATAAATATTGATATATAAAATCGTGATATCGGAAATAATTTTTAATGCGAACTTTATTTATTTTTCTAAATTGCAGACCTCCAACGGGTCGACTTTAACTTGGGCGATATGCCCCCAGTGTCCAGATTTACCTTGCCATTTTACATTGTGAAAGGGATGTTATGCACCAAGGCGTTGAGGGTCCTTAACCTGACCGGATTTTGCATTGGGGTGAGCATTTATTTAGATTTCTGGAATTATTTCTTATCAGCAAAGAAGTTGGTAATGAGTAAAAATAAATCTTATATTTTTATCTGTCTGATTTCAGGAGAACCTCGAAGAGACGGAAATGTGTCGCCAACTCTTAGATGCCAAATTGGTTCAGTGGAAAATTAGCGAGAGTGTGAGTGTAACGCCGCCTTCAGACTTTAGCATTTGGAATATTTATTAGTTGCGTATTAGATTTTGATAGTGGATGAATTTGAGCAGATTTTGATAATCAATCAGTTTCTTATTTGAGCAGATTTTGATAATCAATCAGTTTCTTATTTGAGATAAGTAGTTGGAAAGTATGAGAATTGCGTATTAATCATTTCGCATTTGTTTTTATTTTTTTTACTCATTACGCTATAATTTAATTATTAAACATAAGTTAGAAATTTTGTATATATTTTGTATAGCTGTTTTGACATCTTTGTAAACATTTAAACATTTAGCAACAATCTCATATGTGTAAACTTGTAAGTTTTCAAAGTATTAAACAACTTTTACATTGTACATATCGAGGCGGATTGCATACACATAATTTCCATTACTTCAGTTGAACAAAGAAATATGTAAATGTCATACAGTAACTACTCAAAGGCATATAAAATTACAAAAATATAAAGTACATATATAAATACAAATCTGATCTATGTAAATATACAAACGCCCATACACACCTGCATACTACCAACTTTGCCAAGTTGAACCATGTCGAAAATTGTCCGTATCGTCCGGTCGGAGGGGACGGGGTGATGCCCGGGTCACGAGATGAGGAAGAGGACGAGATTGATTGGCAACCGGAAGTGGGGGTGAAAAGTGAGGAAGATATACAGACTATTTTCGATTAGAATTACTAAATTTTGAGATGAAAGTAATAATTTGAGGCGAAATGAGAATTTGTAAATGATTTACGTCAAAAGTGAAAAGTTTTGAGTAATAAAATGTCTCAATTTGCATCTCATTCTCAGCTGAGAACAATTAAGAGCTGGCATAGTTGAATAATCTCTTTCTTCACAAGATAACCCCGACCAGACCTTTTTTCATCAATCTCAAGTTTTTGAGATTGATGAAATTGATGAGATTGATTACGTCAAAAGTGAAAAGTTTAGATTCAGTAATAAAATGTCTTAATTTGCATCTCACTATTGAGACTTGAGGCAAATCATTTTTTTACCTGTCCGTTACTGACTGCTTGTTGATTTACAGATAGTCAGCAGTAACGAGTAAAAGTTGGTGAATATGAAATTTAAATCTGTAAATAAGAACTAAATAGTTAATTTTAATTAATTAATTTGACAGATTTCTATTTTTTAAATCCAGTTTTATCTTTATGTGTATGTTTTTACAGCTGACTGATAAATAAAGTGAAAAGTTACTACACTTATTTGGTAAGTTATAATTAAAAGTTATAAACCTTTCATTAGTTATTTATTAAAACTCTAATTATTCATTATTTAACAATATGTTGACACTTTCAGATATCCTAGCTTGTCTCTGTTAGAACATTAATTAAAACAATTCATGGCACCACTAAAACAAAGTGACTTTCGACCGGTCACACACCAAAGATGAAGGACGAAGGACGTCGGCGTTCCTTAAAGTTCAAAAACAAATAATTCTAGTAATTCAAAAATACTTTTAAAAAATCACTATAATTGGCGTTATTATATAAAATTGAAATTTCTTAGATGCCAGTGCAGTACATTGATGGACCCACAAAGATAAAGTTATTGTGATAGCAGATCAGTAAATAATGGATGATACGGGCGGTCAGCCATCGCCTCAGCCGCACCCACTCCCCGCCCCTGCTGCTGCTGGAGTTGGACTAGAACGTGAGCCTGACCAAGTAGAGTACTGCATTTGCCGCAAATTAGATTTAATCGAAGACCAAGAGAGAAAGTATAATAAATCGAACAGAAGAGATAAACATTCTCCGGAGTCTGCCCCCTTTGACCAGCTCATCTACATGGGCATGTTAAATTTCAACCACCGCCTGAAGAAAGCACAACGGGCCGATGCAATCCGCGCAGCTTATTTTAAAGGAACACGGCCTAAAATCAAAACTGAAATAACCGAGGAGGATGTGGGACTCGAAATTTTGCAGAAATTTGGAGAATTGGACGACGAATCGCCTAAATTCGATCCTCTCTTTATCTCATTCGAGGACACCATGCAAGAAGAACTGGTCACCTTTGAAGCAGCTGAGAGGGAAGCGTTAATCTCGGGAAACTATTCTCTTTCCGGTTTCGAGACTGTAGAGCAAGTAAGAAAGGAGATGGACCAATGGGTTATCGAGAACAAAGTAAATGTCGAAATGTACACTAATTTCGACCCGAGAAGTAACCAGAGTAAAGCAGAATGGTTCGACTTGCCACGCCCGATGGAAAAGTGGGGTCAGTCTTATTTAGAATCGAAAGTGACGTCTCTCATAGGTTTGAATCTTCAAACGAAACCCGTTACCACAGTCGAGGAGAAAGAAGACAACAATGTCCAAAGTACAGACTCTACTCCAGCTTTCGAACCTGATTTAGTACCTCCCGAGCGTGACCTCCTTGCCGAATCTCTACTTGTTCTAGATAACCCGAACTGTGACCCCCAACGAAAAGAGAAATTAATAAGTGTATAATAAAAATCAAAGTTCCTATACTTCATTTCATTTAATTTAAAGTTAATACCGTTTAATGAAATTAATTACTTATATCTTCAGGTAAATCTGGCCGTGTTCGATCCAAAATATTGGAATTTTCCAAAGAACGTATCCAACTGGAACGAAGTCCCCAATGGAGAAGAATACTTTACCCCTCTAAAACTTTGCTACACACTGAACAAACTTATCCACCGGTGCCCCATGGGGATAAGTTCAAACGCACTGAATGACTTATTTTTTCGTAAGAACGGCTACCACGTGAGATTCAATATTGGGCAACGTATAACCTCGGACGACTTCGACATTGACGACTACACTGAACATTACATACAATTCTTCGTCAGTCTGACAGATATTTTTCACGTGGCCCGGCCAGTCGGTGGGGTCGGAAAGACACTCCTCTTCCCAGCCGCGTACAAAGGCTTAATTGCAAGTCGTCGCATTTTCGATGCCAAACTTACCCACTTTATCCTCATGACGGTTATCTTGAATGATACGGGTTTCGTCAATGTGGAAGAATTACCCTCCTTGATTTGGTCCTATTTTGGCGTCCACATCAACCCATTCGCGCTGGGGTACTCGTCCACCTTCAGCTTTGTCAAGGATTACCTATCCTCCCTCAGCAGTTACGTAACCTTTGCGGAATATTTCCATAAACAAGACAACGACCCCGTCACATATGAGCCCAAAACATTCCTCATTCTCACATACTTTCCCAACGCGACCCAAAACTTTGAAGCTTATCGGACCCAAACTGAGGACCCCGGGATGGCGGAACTGGAAAAATCACGAATCAAAAATTTAACTCTGGTGGAGAAACATCAGGCCCAAATGATAGGGTTGAAACCAATCATGAGGATGGTAGAGGAAATTGAATTCTCCTCGGATTTTATCGACCATCATGGCCTGCACTATTGTCGGTGCTCCTATGCTATCAGCCCTTCCAGCTTTTACGTAGTTTTGCACAAAGACTTTGAAAATTTGCGATATGTAACAAGAAAGTTGGAGTAAGTAAGATAATTAAACAAATACTTATATTTAGTTTTTTGTACAGTTTAATTGTTTTTAATTATTCTTCAGAAATCCGGCAGCCTACAGTAGTGAGTTGCCTTTCAACTTTTTGGAAGAAATTACCATCGGATCTCTAGTCTTGGCAAAGGTCAAGCCAGAAGAGAATGTATGGTGCCGAGTGGTCGTAATTTCTCTCCCATGTGTAAATGAAAATAATCCTGAGAGCGGCATAGGGGTAATAATTTTTGGCTCAAAAACTTGTGTAAAAATTTAAAATGTTCACTATTCGAAACAAATGCATTAATTTTTATTTAGGTCAAAGTTCGCCAACTCGATTACGGAGGTCTATTTTGGGTAAAACTTGGCCAAATTTCCCCACTCCCGAGAGAGCTTGGCGAACCCATACGAGCCCTCGCGGTTCATTGCAATCTCCAATTTCACGATAAGATTCTAATCAAAAAGGAAAGTACTGCTAGTTGGACGGACAAGGAGAGGGAAATGTTTATTGAGATGATTTGCGGCCAAAATATGAAGGTCCGATTAGGCGTGCCAACTATTCACAAAATTATGACACCCGTGGGAAAACAAATGACCGATGTGACAGATCCTTATGGAATTCCTTGTGCAACTTATCCTGCTCGAGGAAACTTACATCTCCCATTTCCGGTATGTCAACATTTTAGTTTTACCTTCCAGCTTAAATGAATAATTAAGTAATTTGTACAATTGTCCTGTTTCTGATTTTAGGATGTGCGACTTTTGCCTGTGACAAAGGCAGTGGTGCTAAAAACTAAACAACCAACTGATGACTGGCTGAATTCGACAAAGGAGTTTAAAACTTCCAAGGTCGTCATTTCAGATTTAGCTGTAGAATTTGAAACGTGGTATAAAAGCACGAAATAAGTTATTCGTGTTTGCAAGTTATTTCAAATAACTTGCAAATCATGAGATAAATGTGGATACAGTTAAACATTGAGCGTCCACCCAATCAATAATTAGGAAAGATTTGATACGATTTTTAATATTTGACGCATTTTATAACTATGTACTACAGTTTCGACATAACATTTCAAAGAAACTGTTTGCTATAATAGAGATGGACCCAGGAAAACCTATATACAATCCTGAGAAAAATTTGATTTTTATTGTACAAATTGTCGTATAATTACGTACTTACTTCGGTGTTTGAGGATATTTTACTTGATATGTACTTTTATTTTGAAAATCTATGGATTTTATTTTACCATAAACCTTACCTACATATGTATTTACATTAATTCAATAAGCAATTGGAGCGTTAAAATTATGATATAAAATTTGATCTTATCTTTTATGTACCCTTAAAAAATTAATACATGAATTTTGATTATTTTATCTTAATCATGTGTAAAATGCGCAATTTAATTGAGATTTTTTTTTATATTTCATTTCACACGTATATCATTTATTTTTTACACGAACCTAACATGAAGGATCTATGACACAAATTTACGTCTTTTTAATACAATCTACAATTAATTTATAGAAAATCTGGGTAATAAAATTAGTGGTAAGGTTTTCTGTTCTGTTCTGTATGAATTCTGTTCAATGTTCTTACTCTAAATTCAGACTTCTGAATTTGCAAGACTTGAACTTATGTGCAACTACAAGGATACGCTTGGCCACACGAAGGGCAAGTGGGTGGAGGGTAGCTGCCGTCATTCTCCCCTCGCGTAGGCGTCGGCCACACTGACATCTTGGACCGGATGGTGGTGATGACCCCACCGAGACGGCAGCCAAAATTATTTCTGGTGGAATCCATTGTTCTCGATTGTTTGAAAGTTGAAGAGCTGAAAAAAGTGAAAGTGAAAAATATTATGAAACTGTACGTTTTGTTGAATGGCTAAGAATATTTTGAAATTTTACTTCTCAAAAATATAGAAACTTGGAATTGGCGATCCAAATGAAATTTGATGCTTCGGAGTTGATCTCGGAATGATTTTCAGTGAAAGAAACGATGGCTTTTTATATCGACCAGATCCAATCCAATTTTGAGTCTCATATTTTTTCATGAAAATATTTCAGATAAGCCACGCACAGTACTAATCAAGGACTGAATTGAACATGCATGAATTGAACAATGCGGGTCGAACGTGCATGCTAATTTTAGTTCTGGTTGAGATGGTCAGTAACATTTGGCCATGTGCATGCATACTCATGTGCCCACGTGTAGGTACTTTCCTACAAATGGAAAATTTCATGAGGCATTATGAACCGAGAAAGTAAAGCAATAACAGAGTTCATAAACATAGGATAACAAAGGCCCGAATGAAACATAACCAAGTGGATTTTGTGGCTGAATTAGTCATACTTTTTATCATGGGTTGTATGTAGTGTGAGTTGTAAAAGAGTGAACATTATGCACGATTGATAAGGGAGCTAATAAAGTTATCATCACATACATATGTTAATATTAGCCGTGGGACAGGAAAGCACGACAAAGCTGATCTCATGCACACTCATGATCACGGATTATGTATCAATCAATTATAAATATGTTGTATTTAAACGGAAAAAATTCATGACTTTAAACATTTTTTTCTAAAACGTATTGGTTTTAATTGGGCAAAATGTAAATGAAGCGGTTACGATTTAGTAACGACAATGCAAATTCGATTCTTTCATAATCAAACGATTCACGGAAATGGAGAGGCGTAGATTTATAAATCATGCACTTCCAATGTGGGGATTTGTGTGAATGAACTCGTTGGATGGAAATGTTGCCGTAGGTGACCGTGGAAGCAGGGGATGAATGAGTGGTGGATGAGTGTTGGAGATGAGAATCAGTCGTGATGATGAGCACAAGTTATCACAATCAAAATAGTCACATTTACTTCAGTTAAAAATATATTGATGTACAAATTGGGGCGAAATTGAGACTTGTGGACTTGAGTGACAAAGTGACGTGGTCAAGGTACGTACAAAAAGAGAATGACAGCGAGGAGGGAGAAATGACCTCCTTTTATAGGAGACTGCTCAAGGTAATGAATATTACAAAAAGGACAAAAGTAAAAATAAACTTGAGCAGAGTGAATGATTTGGACTGGAAAAGAGAGTTGAACTGCTGATAGATAGGCAAATTAAACTGAGCGCATTGGCTGGCAAAGTTGAGAAAATGGTCAACTACAGTCAAAATCTGAATTACATACACAATGAATGATAAATAAGAATATGGTCATAATCATAAAATTACATAAAGCAAATGAACTCAAACATCCAACATTATCAAGAATTAAGATACATTACATAGTGCGAGTTATAAAAGAGTGAGCATTATTTATGCACGACTGATAAGGGACTACTTGCTCATGAAGTTATCATCAATATGTTAATACAGATTAAGCGTGTGACAAAAAGTCACACCAACTTGGTGTTAAAATGCGTATCTTAACAAGGCCTTGGATGGGTTCGAAGAATACTATAACAGGTCAAATGGTTGGCTAATTGTTAAGAAGTGGGTTAATAAAATAGTTTCGAAATTTGGCAATTGGCACACAGATTGCGTTCCCAGTATGAAATTGAAATTGTGTTTTGTGAATAGTTTATAAAAATTTTAAACCTTCACAATATTTTTTTATAATTCGCTAACATATTAATTTGCATTTTTTTTATTTTGAGAAAATTAAAATGTGCTGCATGATAAGGGAGAAATTTGCATTTTGAAACATTAATTTCTTAGCTCAAAATCTGCATACTTCATTTAAACTATTGTAACTAATTATGCCAAAATACTTATCTTCTATAACTTGTTAAAGAACAACCACATTTGATTTTTATTTTGTACAACTTTTTGGCCGAAACTATAATTATACATTGTTCTTATAAGTAAGGGTGAATAAAGATTTGGAAATATTTGGAGTAAATTATATAAGTGTTAATTAATATTTGTTGTTGATGAGATTATCTATGCAATTAATTTCATAAAATGCAGGGCAAAACTAACTAAAATATGCAAAACTGAGAGCTGGTTGAACAGAAGTTTAAAAAATTATGAACCAATAAAAACTGATGATCTAAACAATAGAACCCTTTCGTACACCACGTGTAATGTGCTATCAATCAGTTATCACTGAACAATTTTGGAGAGAAAAGTCGCCAATTATATATTTGTGACTTCAATTTTTTACCTGCTTGCAGTTTATTCATATGTAAGTATGTATACAAGCATAAAGTGCATTTTTCATATGCATACACATGTATAATGCATATGAAAAGATAGATATCACGTATTTTTCAACAATCAACATAACATGTTACATATTATTTAAGAGCAGGATCTATGGGGTACTGATTGTGAGTATGGGTTTACTGGACCCCACGAAAACTAGCTATACCACTTTAATGGTTGGTCCACACACTTACATAATTACTTACTGAAAGTCGTGCAAATATTTAAGTTATCATTTTCTAACATAGATAAGATTGCCTGGTTATGAAGTAGTATTTGATATCATAGAATAAAATATCTTATCTTGTGTATAAGTTGCACTGCACTCAAATCCCATAAACACTTGAATCACAAATACTGCGATGCGAGCAGAATAAAATATTAACATCAAATCATTTTACAATCACAAACATGATGTTCAAGGATTAAGTAAAAAAAAAAAAAAAAAAGTGGCCGGAATTATTCACAAATTTCTCATCGTTTCTTGAAAAAAGGTTGATAAGCACATTATATTTTTCATATTTTGTAAAAAATTATTCACAAAAATCCCCTTTCAGAAATCATGTCATCCTCCATCCGACTGGGAGAACCTGTCCAAATCGTCAACTTCAAACTCTTACCCAGCCAACCATCCCGACTCGTCTTGCAGAAAAAACTTCTCTCCCAGATCCTGAAAGAGGTAGGAAATACCCCCATTTGCCTTATCTCCATCGCCGGTGCGTCCCGTCAAGGTAAATCATTCCTCCTCACCGTCGTCCTAAACGCGCTGGAATGCTTATCTCGAGGACAAACCGATTACTGGGAGGATCTCGACCGGTTGAATGGCCTGAGCGGATTTCACTTCAAAAATGGTACCGAACGTGACACCGTTGGTTTGTGGTTATGGTCGAAGCCATTCATCATTACGAAGTCGGATAATACCAAAATTGCCGTCATGCTGATGGACACTCAGGGAGTTTTTGACAGCTATACGACGGAGAGGGACTGGGCCATGATTGTCGGTCTCAGCCTCCTGACGTCTTCCTGCCTTATCTACAACTTGTTCAACAACATGCAGGAAGACACGTTGAAAATATTTCATAATTTTGTCGAATTTGGAATGCTTTCTTTAGAAGAGGATTCCACTGCTACGAGTGCCTTTCAAAAACTCGTTTTCCTCATACGGTATTATAAATATAAAAATTCATGTCGTTATTAACAGTGGCCGCGGAAGCTTGTGGGGACATTAATATTGTAGGATAGGGGAGGGAGGGGTTTATATAAGATGGACAGGTGATGCGGACATCGAATAACTGTGGGGACATTGTCCCTCTGTCCCAATTCTTCCGCGGCCACTCGTGGTTATTAAGACAGTTTTCGAGAAATATCTATCCGTGACTACTTAGAAAATAGCATTACAAGAAAATTCGCTATTGTACTAGGGACTGGAATTTTCCAAATACTCACTCCTACGGACCGCTCGGTGGTTCCAACTTTCTCGAGAAGAAACTCGCCGTGACGCCCGATATGCCACCGGAAGTTACAAAGAAAACGCTGGTCACATGTTTTGAAGAAATTTTCTGCTTCCTAATGCCCAATCCGGGCGAGGCTGCGAAGGATAACAACTTTTCCGGAGCTTTGGGTCTTCTAAATGAAGCATTTCGTGACAATCTACGCCTTTTTGTGGACAACTTGATTTCATACGACGATCTAAAACCGATTAAAATTGGGAACAATATCATTGACGGGACCAGCCTGATAAGCTACTTTGAAAAATATGTTGAAGTTTTCAACGGGAAAACGATCCCACAACCGAAATCACTTTATCAAGCAATGGAGGAGGCCAGGTTGGGTTCGTGTATTACAAAATGCTGCAACCAGGCGAAAGAGAAATTGGAAAAGGTTCAAAAATCATGCAAGTACATTCCAAACAATGAATTCAAACAGTACTGCGACAAGTTTGGGAAGGAAGCTTTGACAGGTGTGCATAATTATGTAGATAATTGTTAATAATTAATTACAATTACAATTATTTGTTATTTTACTCAGAGTTCATGGCGGAAGGGAACAAAACTAAAAATCAAGAGTTTGTCCAACGACACCGTGCCATACTTTTGTCCGATTTGAAAACTTTATTTGGAGACATTTTTGCGACAAATGAGACATCCAACAAATCCATTTTGAATAAAATTCTGGACGTCTCTTTAGCACAGTTTAAGTCAATTTTGGCAGAGAAAACACGACAAACTCTTCTCGAACAAGATTTGGAAGACATATTGGAAACTGAAGCAAAAAAAATTATGCTAAAGGTTCGTCAAGATTGTGAAGGATGGGATGCCACATTTCAGAAAGAGGCTGAAACCAAGATCAAAGAGTTAATCGACACGGAAAACACAGCAATAAGAGGGCAAAATTCCACTAAATTTAAAGAACTTGAACACTTGTGTCAAACATCGCTCCAGACTTGTACCCAAGAATACAACAGTCTTATGAACCTTGCTTTAGGCAACGACGTAAAAAATGTCACAGAAGAAAAACTGAGTCAAACTCATAAGAAATGCGAATCCATCGTCCTTCCCAAATTCATGGGTTCCCTCGCAAATGAATCCGAAATTATCCAGGGGCATTTTCGCCATCAATTTAACACTGGAATCAATCAGATTCTAGAACAATATGCAGAAAAATTCAGCACAGCTCGAAATGAAGCGTCATCTGCTGCAAAAAATATATACGACGAATCATACACCGCTTACATCACAGCAATGACCGCACTCGCGGAATCTGGCACCGCTTCGGAAAGTGATCTCAAGACGGAACACCGATTCAAAGTTTTGGAAGCATGTCAGACATTGAACCAAATTCAAATAATTTGCTCCTCAGAGGAGGCGAAAGAGTTCGAAAATAAGATGCGGCAAGAAACCACACAGTTTTGTGACGAGCTCATCGCTAGCATCCACAACGAGAAAGAACGCTTCCAATCGCTGCTTGACCAAGCCGTGAAAAATGCAGTGGAAACTTATGACCAAGAAATTAAGAGTGCCGTCCTTTCCACGGCTGATGTACCATTGTCAAATGAAGATTTTGTAAATAAACATGAGAAAATTCTTGGCAAAATTTTGAGCAAGGTCTCCGTATCGGATTGGATACCTGCTGAAAATCGTTCAACCGTAGAAAACAAAATCAGGCAAGGGGTTCAAAAATTGTATCAAGATGCGCAATCCAGCAACAATTGTAACCTGGAAAAGGCTGAATTGACAGCGCTGGAAAAATCTAAGACTTTCCTTGCCACGTATGACGAAAGAATGGATGCACTCGTATCTAGAGTGGCACCACCCGTTCAGAAAACTGAGCTAGCAAGCACTCACAAAAAGTTGGAACAAGAAATCGGAAAAACTGCAAAGAAAACTTTTGCAAATTTCCCAAAATATATTGTCGATAGAATCTGGGGAAAATTACAGCTCGACATGAACAGCCGTTTTGAAGACTATAAGGAAAAATTGGCCTTAAAAGTCAAACAAAATCAAACAAAAATGTCACAGCTAGTTTCCGATTATGTAGAAATGTATCTTTCGGAGATGGACAATTTAAGGAGTACCGTAAAAAATATTACAGATGCAGACCTGGTCCGATTCCATGAACACAGTAAATCAAAGAATATGCGACATCTGACCAATATCCTTCGCCTTAACGAGAACTTAGATGAGGGAAAAGTCCAGAAAGAACTTAATGAAAAACTTGAGCAAGTTTTTTCCGAAATTCAACAGGACGCTTCTGATTTGTACAAAGCTACTAACACCAAAATTTCCGAGCTGTGCAACACTGCTAAAGTTAACTATCAGAAAGCAATTGAAAAAAACCGTGCTCAAAATGAGGAGGAACTCAAGAAAATACACGAAACTGTATTATCTACCGTTTTAGACGAGTTTGAACGCAGTTTTACAGAGATTGGGGATATGCAAAGGTTCCGGCAGGAGAAAGTTGCTCTGCAGGCCGATCTCCAAGATTTGCATGGAAAATCGGTCAACAATTTCCTTGACCAGCATGATAAGAAAAGTAGACAAGAAATTAATGAACTCTTGGAAAACTACAAAAAGCAGGTACAATCTCAGTTGGATCAATTTTATTGCGTGTCTGATTCAAAATTACGAGCTCTACACGATCACGCTTTCTCTGAACTACTAAGCAATTTTCAACAATTGGTGACAATACCTTCAAACCTAAATTCAAAAACGTATGATGACCTGCTCATACAAAAAATTAACGAGGCTTTCAAATTATTCGAGAGTGAAAATATCGCCAAAAATAAATCTTTGCGCAAGACCATTCAAAATCGAGTGGTCCAACTTTCCAAAGAACTTGTAGCCGAGCTCAACACAATGAACTACATAGATGACACGACCTTGAGGAAAATTACCACCAAGTACATCCAGTTGTACGTAGAATCTGTAACAAATGAATTTTCTGTTGATGCAAATCTAGCTGCTTTCTGTGTCTCTCAAATGACAGAGGCTTGTACAATTGCAGTTGATACTTGGAAACCAGAGGCTATTGGTAATCGACTTGTTGAAATATGTACCTCCACCTACATGTTAGAAATGGACGGTAATTTAAAAAATCCCCTCTTAACTGCCAGCCACTTTCAAATTCTGCATGAAACAGCATCTCATAATGCAATCCGGAGGTTCAAAGAGGACTCAAAGTCTCAAATTCTACCTGAATTTTTGACGGACAAGTTTGAACAAGCCCTTCAAAAAAATATTGACCAATTGAGCAAGAATTTTAAGGAAGAATTTGACTCTACAAAACCAAACCTAAAAGGTGCAGCAGAAAGTGGTCAAAACCAGTCAAAATTTCTATTTAACCATATACCAACTTCCTCAAAACAACTGCAACCAGTTCCAAAATCAAGCCAAGTCCACGCTAAGTTGAACGCAGCGCTTAAAAAGATTCATCACAATTCATAATCCATTTCATCCATTCAGAATGCAAAACATTACAAATAAATAAATTGTGATTCATCATAACAATTGTTGCGTATGTATGGATAAACAAAAGTTCCATGACCGTTTGGGGGTCACTACTTTTAATATAATTTTGAAAATCATACCAAATTTTAACTTTATACAGCAAGTTAGTCGGTTAAGTAAGTTAGAAATTCGGCTTCATATTCTTTTCTTAATTATTTATGAGCAATTTGATATCTTTTCAATTTCAGCTCAATTTCAGCTTTAAAATTTCTTCAAATTAGTGAAGGTGGTACTGTCACCAGACCAAAAAGTTTTTCAGGTCACCTTTATATATATTCCGAGTGTATGTATAGCCTCCATTAAGACTATTGTGTCGAATTTAAGCGATCGACGACTATGATTTATGATTTTATGATTTAAACCTTTATTCACGTGTTAATAGTTATCAGTTTACAAAACTGGTTTAAAAACTATGACACAAGTAGATAAAACTATATATTTAACCTAAAAAATATCTAATGGACTCAATAACAATATTGGTCGTCACGTGCATTAATGATGTGTTCACGGACGGCTTGTACATATTTGTTGTAGCTCAAGTTTGGGTCCCAATCGCGTGGGAGTTTGTTCCATAACTTGGTCGCGCGATAATTTATGGATTTTTGAGCAAAGTTACATGATGTTACAGTTAAGAGTGGCCAAGAACGTCTAATTGCGGAGGAACTTATTTGGTCTTGGAGGTGTTTAAAAGCGTACTTATACAGAAATAAATCACGACGCTCTCGTATTGTCAAAAGGTTACACTTACATAACAACTCATTTATCTTTATCGCTTGCTTATTGATTTTAAAGCGTGAATGTTTCTTATGTCGAAATTTTTTTGCAAGGGAGGGAAACATGAATTTGACAAGGAAGGAGTTTACTTTATGTTGTATTGAATCGAGTTGGGCATCAGTCTGAATGGCCCAGATATCAATACAAAAGTCCATAATCGAGTGAATATGGCTGTTAATCATAATGGCCATGACTTTATCGGTCAGGTGCCGCTTTAAACCGTGTAGATAACCTAAACTCTGAGAAACTTTCTTAGTAACAGCATTAAAATGATCACGAAAGTTAAGGTTAGAGTCTAACATTACACCGAGGTATTTGAACGTATGTACATATTCTATCGATTGGCCGTTGTTTAACAGAATTGACAGACTATTTCTACTTTGCTTCACTTTGATGTGTGATTAACTGCGAGGCGTCTTCGTATTATGCGAGTCGCCTAATGCGACGCTGGCCATATATTTTTTCCATTATTTGCCCATACATGTATTTTCTAGCGTAGAATTGTATACTCCATTACATTCACTACGATAAACATTTCGAAAATTACCAGTCTGGACTGCCCATTGACATCATCATCATCTTCGACTCAAACTGGCTCAAAGCTTCCGAAGTCAGTACCCATGAAATAAATATAATTTGACGGAAAGATATAAATATTTCATCTGTCTAAATTTTGATACAATTTACTAATTGTAAGTACATATGTAAGTGTAAGTACTTTTTGCACCCTCTCGCCTCGCTATATGAGTCACACTTTTGTGCCATTCTCCCCTCGCCATTATCACAATTGCACTCCAAGCTTATTTTTTGCCGTCACATTTTCCGTGATAATTCTGATTTTTTTTTCCTAATTCTACAGCAAATGCCAAGAAGCACCTCGCATTCAGCAATCCAAATCCTTACAAGCAATGACTAAATACTTTTAGTTTAGCTACTGCAGCTGCCACAATAAATTCTTCAACTTCTTAACGCTGATGAACATTCTGCAAAAAAATATCACGGACAGTTGGACTCGAACTTAAATTCTTACATAATATGAACGAATATTGCATTTGCAGAATATTAGCATTCTTTCTTTCCATAAGTCGCCAAATCCTCCTCCATTAAACTCACGTCACGTGCCCCATTCAATTTGTGGTGCTGTTGCCAGAATTTTCGCAAAAAAAGGAAGTAGATAAGTAAATGCAAATACTTTCAGTTTTATCTACTTGTGGTGCAGAAAAAAATAGGCAATTACTTCAAATTGAGTTTTACTACATACTTACAAGTCAGTCGGACCTTGCTACATATACTAAAGTGAGGATTTTGATGGACATGGCTGGTTGGAAGATACGCTAGACTGCCCATCTACATACATTCATACACCTCATCATCTCTATGCAGGCTTATCAAATCTATAAAATCTACAACTTCCCATGGATGCTGGCCACATATTTTATACATTCTCATCCTTTATTACGTACAGTAAAGCAGTTAATTACTCCCAGTTTTAGCAGCAGCGGAGTGGAGAACAATGCTCATCCTGCTAAAAGTTCCCATAACTTGAGGAAACCTTCGATTGAAGAATTTTACACATTAAAGCCACGAGTATTATAAACAAGACATCGACCAGGCCACGTATGTATTACACGTACGCAGAAATATGGACGTAATATTCCCACTCGAATAAATTTAAATTGTTGGTCTGTGCAAATTTCATCTCATAAATAATTTACAATCCTAAATTACTTAAATACTACTGCCAAAACTAAAATCTCAAGACAAAAGCAATTTTAGAAAATTTTATTAGTGTCTTTTTAGTATCACACAAAATCATAAAAATAGTCCGTGCTGCGACCAAAATACCAAAATTTTATTTAAGAAAAACTTTTACGTAATAGATACTTACTTATAATCTCGTAATCGTAATCTCCTCTCGAGTAGGAAATTACACATAAATTGCGATAAAGTGCAAAAAGTATTACTTATTGTCAGGTAATTTGCATGTAGGTAATTTGCATGCGTACATATGTACCACTTGGCACATGTACACGTAAAAAAGTGTGTGTTTGTCGCCATTCTGTAATGCAATTCTATCACTAAATCTACACCCCGGATGGATGGATGCTTGCATGGGTGGTGTCAATTCTTGGGGGATTAGTTAACGCAAGATGCGATCCCCTCGACCACGACGACAACGCTGACAATGGTCTCCTCTTTGAAAGTAAACCACTTACTTTACATGACTCACTAAATATCTAACAAAAAAGAGTCGGATACACTAACCAAGTCGATCTTCTTCTTCAGTCTGATTCAAAACGTTACCTGGTGCGTATAGCGCCACCATCACCACCACCACCTGAATATTTTTTAAACCTAACAGACAAACGTAACACTTATCTCTACAACCAAACCAGTAAGACAACAAACAAGTGAATAAGTGAAGTGCAAGAATTTTACATTTTTATGCATGTGCAAAAATTTATAGAAAACTTTTACACATAAAAGTGCGTGGTGTGGTTCATAATAAGCGATCACTGGTTTGGTTACGCTGTGCAGCAACTGTCGCTCCTCTAGTTCTGGTTGAGATCCACTTTTACAAAGAAAATCTTGACCATGTTGTCATGCTATTAAGTAAAATTGCATATCGTAGTGGCACAATTGGCACACTTATTATTTATTATTTTACCACTGGTCTACTACACTAATCAGCAGCAGCAAAAGTGGTGGTGATAATGCTGCTGCTGCTAGAATTATCTATTTACTCTCGGCAGGACAAAATAGAATGTGAATAACAGCATTAAATGTGAGACAAGGTTTTCACGTAGCCAAAATAATAGTAATAATAATATTTAGTGACGTAGAGAGCGAGACGAGTCTCATGTCACCTCCAAATTATTACCTGCACATACATATTCTGATCAAATGTGAGACTTAATTTAGTCACAGTCAGTGCAAGAGAGTAACTGTAAAATTCGTGCAGTTTGTGAAAATGTCGAAAGTTTGTGAAAAAAAGGAGGTTGACGAAATGACCACAAGTGGCGGAGGTGGTGGAGTTCAGAAGTTACCAAATTCCGAACCGGAATTCACCCTGGAAAAGTTAAACACTTTGATAAAGAGTCAACTTCGTCTCTTTTTCATTCCGGCGAACAAAGAGAACGCCGCCGCCCCCGCGGACAACGCGGCGATGACGGAGAATGGTGGCGACTTGGTGGTAAAAAGTCCGGGGAGGGAAGCGCGGCGTTGGGGGAAAAGGGGGCCGATTATTCAGAGGAATGGTAGTAATTTATCACCACCTCCAGAAAATGGGGGTAGTAATTTACCACCCCCAGAAACTAGACATCATTCTCACCGTCGTCGAGGTCCTTTTAACTGGTCCGGTCTCTTTGAAATGATGATCTGCGACTTTATCCTGACCTGTTTTCTCCCACTCTTTTTCGCTCCGATGTTCCTTCTCAACATTATCGGCCGCTTTTTGGCTAGAATTTACCTCTATTTCAAAACTGGGGGGAAAGTGCGTCTCATGCGGGGACAGGATGCCTTTTGGGCGTCGGAGTCAGAATTTAATCCATGCAACTTCACGAGTCTCTATGTTATCGAGGGCGTCCCAGATTTGGAGAAGATAAGACAGCGGTTAAAATCCAGTTGGGTATGTAACAAGGAAAATGATGACTTAATTAAAATTAATGGTTGTGCTACATCATAGTTTTTTTGGCAAGTTTAGATTGAGCGAAAAGACACTCAAGGACGAGCCATGTTTACCAAACTAAAACTTAAGGCTGTTCAACGTGCAAATTATTTTGGATGGGAGTACCATTCGCAGTTTGACTTGAGCGAACATATCAGATATTTACATCCTGATAACCCCGATAAGCACACGGGTAACCAATTCATGCAACTATATTCATATCAATTTTTTTACTAATAAAATTCTGTAACACCACAGGCGAGGCAGAACTATTTGAAGAAATCACGGCCATCTACGACCGCATCTTACCGGCAGATAAGCCCCAGTGGGAAGTCCTTGTCGTACCGAATTATCACTATGAGGACGACACCTCGGGCCGGAAGGGGTCACACCATTACGCCCTCATCTTCCGGGTCCACCACTCCATCATGGACGGTCTCTCGGCGGCGCAAGGGTTGCGACTTGTCTTTGCCGACAACGTCGTCGAGGCGGGCGTCGACCCCATGAAACCCATCAGAGCGACGTTGAAACAGAGGATGAGTGTCAATATGGCGGCTTTGATGTTAGTGGGTAAGTACATACATACATAGCTTGGCTTATCTTTTCATTAGTTATCATCAGATTTAATTTATTTAATGGATTTTTTAGGACCTTATCTGCTACGAAATCTGTACATGAAAAAAGAGACGAACCCATTTCATGGTCCGTCTCTGTGTGGGCCGAAAACTTTGGGATGGTCGAGACCCATCCAGCTCTCGGCGATTAAGAAATTGAAGGTATGTGTATATACTCATTTTTCAAGAAATTTAAACCTACAATTAATTAATTAATTAATTAAATTAATTTCTTAAATTTAGGACGCGACCCAATCCTCCATCACCGCCGTGTTTACCGCCTGTATCGGAGGAGCCTTCAAAACCCTCGCGGAAGCCAAGGGACACCCACCCCCGGAAAAATTAACCGCCGCCACGTGCGCGGCACTCATTCCGTATCCAAATATCAAGGCGCAAAACAGATTTTGTGTCCTTTTCACGCCAATTCATACTCAAGTGGAGGATGCGCTTGTAAGAGCAGTTTCTACTAACTTTCGCGAAAAAATTGCAAATAGTTCATGTGACTATTTGCAAATTGCGACTCGCAAATATTCTTAACTCAATCATTTCTATACCTATCCAGGAACGCGTCACCCTTTCTCAAGAACCGTTCGCTAATCGATTCCTCAACTCGGCCGAGGTTATCATGTCCTATTGGATCACGTGGATCGGTGGCTGCCTTCCCGTCCCAGTTTTGAAATTACTACAGGACAGGATCTGTAATGGGACCGTCCTCCTCTCCAATCTACCCGGACCGAGAAGCACCGCCCAAATTTTTGGGGGTGACCCAATCATCGATGTCGTGGGGTGGTCCCCGATCCGCAACAAGATCGGAATTGGCCTCTGCCTGTTCGGGTACAATGGGCGCATTCGTGCCAACGTGGTCGCGGACGCGTCCGTCTTTCCCGACGAGGGCGACGTGACCCATTTCATTTCCGCGTTTGAAGGGGAGCTCGCCTCGTTGGGGAGGACGTGCCTGGGTTTAAGGGACGAGGAGGTCTTCACCTGTGGGAACAGGCACCCCCACCACAGTCAGGCGGGATATTATAAGAATTACTATAAAAATAAGGGAATTGGTGGTGGTGGTGGTCATGGCTCAACAATTGTAAACAAAAGAGTGACCAGCGATTCTAATCAGAATTTTAGTAGGAGAACCAATAATTTTAGTAGACAGAGGGTGAGAACTAGTTCAATTTCGTGATTTTTTATGATATTTTAAGTAATTTAGATTATGTATTGTTAGAAATGACTGAATAATAAAATTTGTAAATTGTTGAAAACATTTTGATTTTTTTTCCTACATTGAAAACTTTATTATTCGGGAGGCACAGACGCAGGTATTTACACGGAGAGAAAAATTATGCTTCAAATTTAATGATTAAGCACTTCCAATCTAATAAAATAACCAATGAGCATTTAAACTACATAATCGTAAAATTTGCAGGCTAGGAACATAATAAACTCGTGCGTGGGCTGGGTATCCGCATTTCACCATTTTACTGATATTTAAATGGTATCTTTTGCTACGTGGTGGGTGGTTTGGTTTGGTTTGGTTGTTAAATCATCAAAGCGTCAATCATTCATTACCAATCGTGGTGGTAATGGCTTGAGATTTACGGCATCCTAATTTATTTCTTGGAATAAAGCTATATCAGTAAAACTAATTTTAAGAGTCAAGGTCACCTCCATAATTTACTCGATTTTTGCCCGATTTCCTCCTTTAAATGTGAAGACGGGATAGGTCACGAGGTAAATGATGAGTTGTGGTAACTGGCCAAAAATTAGGAATGATTCTAAGCTTGACATGTCCTCTAGTTCTGGGTAAAAGTGCGAGGGTGTGATCACTAAGGCGATTTGGAGGAGTGATAACCACGCAGTGATAAGCAAGACTGTTCCCGTATTAGTCTTTTGCTCGTTTTCTGTGGCGTCAGACTCTTCAGGAATGGCGGCGTCGAAAGAAAATTCGGCCGGATTTGAGTCCTCGTCATCGATATCTTCCTTTTCTTCAGATTCTGACACGGAAGCCGAGTAAGGATCGTAATTCGGGGAGTATGGGTCCGATGATGGTGATGAGTCGATGGCATTTTCTGATTTGGATAACCACCCAGAAATCTGGTAAATGGAAACATTTTATTATCATAAAATTATCATCGAATACATATTTTAAACACTTTTTAAACTCACGAAATAAAGAGCTGGCTGGAAAACTGCCAAAAGTCCATTCCCCACAAAAAACGAGGATGATTCCAAACATTTAAAACTATTTCGAAAAATGAAATACCATCCCAAAAATTTTAGCGTTATTGCACCCACAATCTTCACGGGTAAAAATGGCGTAGGAAAACTGCCAGAAACTTCATCTTGATCAAGATTAAAAGCGTCATCTAACTTCTGTCTGAGAAGGAGCCCCCCATATCCCCCACTTCCCAAGAGGAACAATAGAACGGAAAATGTAAACAGTTTCTTAACCAGACGGACAATCAGGGAGGGTTCGTCATAGTTATTTTCGTCGTAGGAGTTGTTATTTAGCTCGACGCCATACTCCACTTCGTCCACTGCTGCGCCATCATCTTCTGGATAACAGACTTTCGCCACAGGTTCGTCGTCGTCTTCTGGGTCACTGACTTTCGCCACCGGTTCGTCGTCGTCATCCGGCGTGGAATTGACAGATGACCTCGGGGTTGGTCGTCTCAAGGGCGTAGCATCAAATGACTCCACGTGACGATCATCCTGACGCACTTCTTCCCTCTCCTGACTACTTCTGGGCGTAGAACTTCTCGAAAATGTAGAATTTGACCAATTAAGGTCGTGATCCTCGTCAAAATCTGACACTAAAATGTCACAAAATAATTATTAACCAACAATTTCCCCCACAAAATTTACCAAAATTCCTACCAATTCCACTACTCCTGCTCTCATTCCGATACCGGTCATCGTATTCTTTTCCCCTTTTGTTAATATCTTCAAACTGTTTCACAATATCGGTGACTCTGACTCTGAGTCCGGGCGACTCCCAGTCTGGAACCTCCTTTTGATACGGGGTCACCCTCAGCAGGGAGACGGGCGAGGATCGAGACGAAGACGGCGACGGGGTCCTCGATGTCATCTCGTTATCCGCCATTCTCACCAAGTGCACGCTATTGAGCAGGCTTGTGGGCCGACGACTCTGGACATTTTCGTCAGATTCTTCCAACGTCTCAGGATTCGGGGGCATTTTGAAGGTGAGAAAAAAAGTCCTGAGATTTTTGCAATCTTTATGCAAATCAGGTCCTATTAGTGCACCTGACACTAACGTCCAAACAACCCGAAGAGGAATGTGAGACTGGACTGGAACAACTTCCCATCTGCTCCCGAAATCTTGTTCAGCAAATAATCATTAACGTTCTTCTCAGGCAGAAGAAGAGGGTTTGATTGCATACACGCAATTCACCCATGAGAATTAAGACGAATCCTGCATTATGAAGCAACCAATTTACAATAAACATTTATTTTCCATTAGGTTTTCCCCATCACATAAGAGAAGAAGACATGGTTAAGGTGGGTTCATGTTCAGTAGTGATGGTGCATCTTCTTCTTCAATAAGACGGCACAGAAGCTGCATGAAAAGTGGAATCAAAACTTATTAACGAAAGGGATGTATGTATCATAGAATGGATTATTTATTTATTTACATGTGTGAGTAGGCATCTGCAGAAATCAGCATCATTCAAGCCAATCCATCCAGTCCCAGTAATAATTGCAGTTGTACAAGTCTGCAAATGGAATATTTTGCAACAACAACATTGGTTCCTTTATTAGATAGTTGCGAAAACAACTGGATTCGCACATTCAGCTCGGCTTCATCAGTTACATAGTTCGGCAAAAAATCAAAGGTTATTAATCAACCTGCAAAGCCTGGACAAAAAAAAAGAATTCTTTCTGATTATTACGCAATAATGGAATGATTTGCATTTAGTATTTGCAACGCGTTGTGTGAAATATGAAGGATTATGAACGCTAATAAACGGGGTATTTGGGTCGTAAGTGTTTGCAATGCAAATTTTGCATACAATTGTTGCCAAATTTTAAAACAAACCCTGGTTTATTTACTGTTTCAATTTATTTAATTGAGTTAGCAGGAAACGCTTTGCTTTCGAAATTAGTGATGATTTTCATATTCTACATTTCATTTCTTACCGTTAATAAAAAAAATCGTGCCGTTATCCAAATTACATTTATTCATTTCTTTTTAGTTTAATCGGTATAATCTCTTAATTAATATTAACATTAATACGTATGTATTTAATTAGTCAATTAATTTAGAGTAGTTAAAAATAAGAAGAAAGCATAGAAAGTGGGTAACATTTTGTCAAAATATTTACATAATTTCTAATACTTGCCTCAATATATTCTGTCAATATCCAATTTTCATGAGTTGAATACTTTCATAAGAAGGTCGGAAGGTTAAGGTAGTAACGGGAACGGACGAATCATACGTCACGTTACATGTTACAGACGGCTTAACCTACTTATCCTTTGCATAGTTAAAGTTAAAGTGATGTTTGCGTTTTTGTTAAATGAAAAAATATTTAGTTGGTAATACAAGTTTCTACATATTTTTTTACAAGGTGTGGAGAACGTGCTATCCAGTCAATTGAAGAATAGTCAGCATTTCAATTGAAACGAGACAGTCCTTCAACTTGACAAAAAATAAATGTATGGCCGGTACTTAATTATGTACCTTAATTAACATACGTGTAGCGAGCGAAAGGTGACGAGCAAAAATTATGGATATCAATAATATCTCGATAAGAGTGAGGTAACATAATAATGAATACGGTGCAAACTATTAGAAGTGCGTACTATTTAGTATATATTTTAAAATTAAAATTAACAGTGGCATGCATAACGGTTAAAATTGTTTGTTTAATTAAAACTACAGATGAATACCACGTCAAGTGTTCCACAAAACCGTTTTCCATATTTCGCATGGGAATGTGAGACAGAGTGAGAAAAGTGGTTCGCGGTGGGTATCCATCATCATTTCGAGTCAGGGTCGTATGAAATCCATTTCTCTTCGTCTCACTTTTTCCATGCAAACTTTTCATCCAACCAGGCACCTCTCATTTAATTATATATGTAACCCGAAATTACCGTTCAGTGTCTAGTAGACACCATACCTCCTATTATCGTCATCATAAATTCAAGAGTTTTATATTTGGGGCGATTTGGATAAACTAAATTTGCTTATCTGAAAAATTGATAAGTCTGGAGATAAGCCCTATAGCGTTAATTTTTTAGTGAATATCACCATCATAAATTCATAAAAGCTTAAGTTTTAAATTTGGGGCGATATGGATAAACTAAATTTGCTTATCTGAAAAATTGATAACTTAATTGATAAGCCTCAAAGCATTAATTTTTGAGTGAATATCACCATTATAAGTTCAGAAAAGCTTAAGTTTTAAATTTGGGGCGATTTGGATCAACTAAATTTGCTTATCTGAAAAATTGATAAGTCTGTAGGTGAGTCCTATAGCGTTAATTTTCGAGTGAATATCACCATTATAAATTCAGAAAAGCTTAAGTTTTAAATTTGGGGCGATTTGGATAAACTAAATTTGCTTATCTGAAAAATTGATAAGTCTGTAGGTAAGTCCTATAGCGTTAATTTTCGAGTGAATATCACCATTATAAATTCAGAAAAGCTTAATTTTACTACTTTAATAACTTTATTCTTTATCATTATTTTTATGGGTAGTATTTCACAAGCAGCCATACTATGTATGTATGTATGTTACGGCTCTTGCAAAATAAGCCCCTCCCTCAGAAACTTTGACCCCAAAAAACTCATTGTTCCGGTCATTTCTACTCGGCCAACAAAAGCTGAAAATGTAGCTCTTCTCAAGGAGAAAAATCTAGCATCAGGTTGTCAGACTAGAAATGACCGGAACAAGGAGTTTTTTAGTGATTTGTATGTAGGCAAAAAAACCGCCGATTTTCAAATTTTGAAACTTTTTCTGCATCAAAATGTTTGTATTTATGGGGGAATTAAAATGTCAAATACAACTTGAGGTCTAATTCTTTTTTTAAGGAGTGTACATTAGCTTTCTCATTTTTCCCAATTTTTTACCCCCATTTTTTAAGGGGGGGTGGTTGCATATAATTCAAAAATAGCTATGGTAAGGTGATCCATGCAACCGCAGTTCATTTTGCAATTTTTTAAATTAAATTCGGTGGCATCGATGCGAAATACTATAACACCGTATCATTCATTTCATCTCTACACTAGATATTTTTAACAATCGTTCCTTAATTAATTAATTGATTACGACTCTTGTTTTTTATTATACTGCCCTCGAAGACATCATTGCAAAGCTATCAGTGATGAGACGAGTGATGACGTCGAGGGCCGTATAATAAAAAACAAAAGCAAGTATATCCATTTTTGCATGAAAATGTTGCTATTTTAAAATTTGTCAGACCTGAATACCGAAAGAACTGTTTGACGATTGAATTCTGTACATTTATGAAATACAATTTTGCAATATCCGTTGACAAAAATATAATGGAATTTCTTGAATTTTGAACTAATACTTTGTGCAAGATGCAATAGGCAGGGTTGTCCATTAGCTGTTTTCGATTCATAAAATTTGAATTTTGTGTGAAGGAACTGAAGGATACCGGAACAAGAAAAATGAATCAAAGGTAGTAGGTCGATGATTTGTTCAGGTTACGTGACATAAGGGTCTGGCAAAAGGCTGAAAATAGAAAATTGTACAAAAGTTTTAATTACAATTTGGTATCAGAGCTAGATAAAGAAAATAGTAAGGAGCATGCGATCGTTTAAACTGCATAAATAAGACTAATGTTATGTACAAGTACAGGACACATAGGCAATTAAAAAAAACTAGAAATTGATTAACTACCATACCTAAAATATACTAATGTGGCTGATCTCGAAATTGTTAACTAAAAACGCGACGAACTAAGAAAACCTAAAATAACTCGAGTAATTTTAATAAAGTTGGCTGAGCTGAAGTCTACAAGTCCTGGGTGATGTCCAACGAGTGTCATTTATTAAGACGCGAGACACTCAAGACTTGATCTTACTTAGATCTCATAGTGGTTGGGAAGAATCCTATCATGCAACACAACAAATTCCACAAGTTATAATAAAAACATTATCAAACTCTTACAATTTTGCGCGTCATTATCAGCATTATATTTTGTTAGGATCATAATGCATTATTATAACAGTTTTCTTAACTAACTCGGACTTTTCCTCTTCCCGGAGGGGCGAATCCCATCGGAGATGAACTTCTACGATTTAACAGAAAAATAATGATTAGTACATTGATCATTGTTACATGTGTACGATTGACTTACCTTCCGTAAAATTGACAATACGAACGTGAATAGCTTGGAATTTGTCCAATTTTGGTGGAATTGGACAAAGTCGGTACGTCACTTGGTCCCCTGTTCGTGGAACCAGTTCTCCTTCAATGCTGAAACAATTTTAGTAGAGAAATTAGCCATCTTTGCAATTTATTAATAAATTAAATTAGTGCTTACTCGGAAATATGGACAAATATTTCCTCTCCCTCTCGCTGGTCTTTGACAATGAAACCGTGCCCTTTGCTTCTGTTGAAATATTTGATGATGCCATGCTCGATGGGATTGTCCTTTGCCCGTTCATAACTGGATAGAAATATTTAACCGTAAACTTCTCTAGATTTTCTACCACGATTTAAATTTGCATAATTATAATAGACTGCATACGTGGAGTTGGAGCGGTTGCGTTTCGTGATGACGTTACCTCCATGAAAGATATGCGGAATATGTAGTCCCCCGGGGGAGTTGGGATGCGTCGGACTCGCACAAGGAGATGCCTGCTTCCCACCGCGATGAATGGACAATGGTTCCGTCGACAATGCAGCTGGTTCACCCTGCCCACCATAGGTCAATATTAGGTTAGGTTATCTAATCAATCATATCATTAACTATTTTATGTACCAAGTTGAGCACCGGGTAAACCGGATTTGCTTCAAGGTTCGGTTGCGATCCGGTTTCTCGCAATTCGAGCGTTTTTCGGTTTAGTTCGGCGTCCATCACTCCTTATCCCCTCAATATTTAGCTTATCAATGTCAATGTGAGATTTGTTGGATCTTCTTACGCCCACCTGTATTTCATATTAAACATGCAATCCATCACTTATTATGCTCAGCTATGGAAATTTTTGATAAAATAAACTTACAAGGTGAAGAAATCTCGATAAATTATCGTAAACAATTAACTAATTAAAGCTAATTAATTAAAGTTAACTCGAGCAAAAACACTAAAAAATTGTGGTTGATTGATTTGATAATTCAATTCATAACACTTGTTTTCGTGTTTTTGTGTCTGCTGGAAAAACTCCGTCGTCCTTTCCGCGTCTCAAATTTCCCCACTTTCACTTTCCGCCAACTTTCAGTTCCAACCTAAAAATTGTATTTTTTTTATCTGGCTCAAAATTTTAGTTACTACTTAAAATTTTAATTAGCCATAATAATAATCAAAATATGGTTCTAAATTTGTAATTGTAAATAGAATGTGGGGATTTCACTAGTCAAAATACTGTTAGTAGAATTGCCAACTGGTGACGTTTGAAATTACACCGTAAGTTTTTGAAAAAGTTGTACTAATTTTGAATTAATAAATAGTGTTTATATTTAATTTAATTTTGAATAAAGGTTATAGATTCATAATAATGGCACTCGACATTACTGCAAATTGGAATCAATGGTGCGACTTGGCCGTGCTGGGGATCGACGTGGTCTGTGCCGCTGTTCTTTACACAATGTACAAAAAGAAGGAACGGCTTATCAAGAACATTTTAGTAAGTACATAATATTTTGTGGTAGAGTATTAAAGATAGGGAATTAGTTAATTAACATTTATTACTTACCTAACTAGGAAGCACCATCACTCTCGGTTAGTTCAGAGTTGGAAGAACTGCTTCAGGGGAAAGAGCAAGTCCCATATGCCGTGATTCAGGGGAGGGTTCGTGACATGGGACAAACAATCGAGAGTTCTTCCGGTCTTAAAACGGTTATGCAAAGGGTCACCCTTAAGGAACACAGTTATCGAAGATCCGCCTTGAATAATTGGTCAGTGAGTTGATTTTAATAGCCATGGTTTGACTTTGTTATGCATCATGCAATTTTACTATTTTTTTGCAGGGGAGATAACGTTAGAACGATTCACCAAGCACACAACTCTGTTCCATTCGCTTTACGAAGCATGCTTGATCGGGAGCGGTCACTTTCTGCCTCCGCCAAGAAATTCTTGGTGGGAATTGACAATCCATTCGATGCCGAAGATGAGTCCTTATTTTTAACGACATCAACTAATTTTACGCCCTCAAATTCCTCTGTAGCGTCAACAGTGATGGGATTTTTTACTGGGGTGAGTTTCATTGGTAAATAAGTGTGACTGATAACAATGTTAATTAATTGGTCAATTTCTATATTACACAGGTCGCCGTCCGTGGAGTAGAAAGAACAGAGGAAGTTCTTCCCGTCGATACCGTAATTACTGGGATTGGCCGCCTAGTCAAGGATCCAGAAGGTGATTAATGATTATATATTTAATTAAAAAATAATTCATTCATTAACTTTAACTTAAATGAATTAGGTAACATCAAACTCGTCACTCCTAAGGACGAAGACCAATATCGATTCATCTTGAGCACATTGCCAGTTGAAAGTAAGGCACACATTTTAAAAACAATTATCATAAAGAAATCACTCAAATTATTGCTTGTTTACAGGCATCGTCAAAAAATTGGAAGGTCGCAACACCATCCTAAAAGTCGCCATATGTGTCGTCGTCTCTGTCGGCGCGGTGATAGCCGTCCGTCGACTTCGCCTCCTCTGGCAAGAGTATCAAATGCGAAGAATGCGTGATGCAATTCTTCGCCAACGTTCCCAAGTTGATATCGAAGGCTTGGCCGAGATTCAGATTTGCACCGTGTGTTTGACAAATCCCAAAGAAGTAATTTTGCTAAACTGTGGCCATGTTTGCGTTTGTGCAGATTGTGTGTTAAAGATAGGCTCTAAGTGCCCTGTATGCCGTAGTATCGTAATATCGACACATCCTGCATTCATTGTGTAAGTAATTAAGTAATAATTGTATTATTAAACTATGAAATTATTAGTCCGACACAAATAATATGTATATGTTTTTGTAATAATATATGATCCATGTTGCTGTTACTGCAAGTTTTAAATATACGACATGACTGGTATCCGTCAAAATCAAGCTCATGGAACTTTACGATGTCCAATAGTATAAAATTCTGCAGGTCACTCTATTTTTTTGCATTCTGTTTTAATCGGGGACACACCTGCAACATCTCGTACTCAACCAAAGATACTGATTAAATCATCCTTTGCACGCATTCGTAATTATATCGCCTCACAAAAATGAAACGTTTTAGCATGACATCCAATTTCATAAGCTGAATGCATTCGGACTGGACTGGACTCGGCTCTGAGTATAAAAAAGTTAAGATGATGTGTACATGCTGGACAAATAGATATGTATGCACAATGATTTGGGATTGGGATTGGGATGGCCTTGGCTTTTTTATATGAACATCATGAAAACCAGACCGGCAATTGCATGAGATGAGATGTACCTAAAGTTAAGTTGTTTCAAAGTCAGTGCTACAATAGTTTCTGGGCTGTTAAGGAGCAGGATAAAATACGAATAATATTTACAATCCCATCTCAAAAGCTAGATTAACTTAAATCGCCAATTACATAGATTTAGGCACATTACTCACCATACGAACTTCGTATGAATTACATATGTTAAGTTGGTTTTCGTTCTTTTGTAAATAAGTGCTTCACACCAAAAGTCTTATCATTATCTCAACCTATAACCGATAAGCCAACAAAGGAGATAACGGCAGGCCGAGTTTCGTTCGTGTCACATGTTGTGTGAAAAGTAGAGTGGAGTTCTGGTCATGTGAACAAAAACGTTAAGTGTGGAAAACTTTGTTTTGTTATTATTTTGCAAATTCATTGTACAAATTTACTGACTTTTGCAATTTTACTATTTGTGCCATGTCGTCTAAAACGGCAAAACCGAAAGCTGAAATGCCCCTGTGGCGTAGCATCGCCTCTCTGGAACCTGGATTGGTCATGCACATGACCGCAGCAATTATGGTTTTCATGGTTGTGCAAGATTTCATGCTGGAGAAAGCATGCCGAGTGAACTTGGACTATGGAGATGCCGTTTGCGACGCGTTAAAAGCAAAGTTAGAAAAAAATTGCATACATACCAAAATTATGAAATTATTTACGTTTCTTTAAGTATTTTTGCTTGTTTTTTTATAGAAATGCTGGCGATAAGTACGCCACGGAGGAGAAGGAAGTCCAAAAACTAATCAGCAGCGTCATGGTGTATCGTACCCTTCTCGAGAATGCCTTTCCCATGGTCCTTGTCTTCCTGATTGGTGCCTGGAGTGACAAATATGGTCGAAAGTTGCCCATGCTGCTCGTCATTGGAGCTTTTCTCATCCAAAACGTCCTCCTCATCGGGTGTGTCTTCCTCGAAAAGGCAACCGGGGCGTGGAGTGTCGCCGTTGTGTCGAGTTTGATCGCTTCTCTCTCCGGAAATCAGGCGTGCTTCATGGTCGCCGTATTTTCCTACGTTTCCGACAACACGGTCGTGGAAAAGAGGACGATGCGGACGGGAATTGCGCACTGCTGCATCTTTCTCGGCGTGACCTTGGGGTTGGCGGGAGGTGGAGCGCTGTCGCATTCAGGACTCCCATTCGCCACCTGCTTCCTCCTCGGGGTAGGCTTGGAAGCAGTGTCGCTGATCTATTTGTGGGTCATGATGGAAAATCAGCCACAACCGGGGGTGAGGAAATCCAAGTTCTTTTAGTTAATGTGTAATTAAAGACGGATTATTAAGTATTTTAATTTTTTAGGCTACCAAAGGAAAATCCTGGTCGCAAATTATTGGCGAATTATTCGACTTTAAACACATTAAGGATGCCTGGACATCCGTCATGAGACCCAGGGAAGATGGCGCAAGGATGAAACTTTGGCTACTTTTGGTGGCCCACGCTTGTGCGTTGATGCCGATGATGGGTAATTAAATTACTAATTACTAATTAAATCTACCCCTTGGTAGTTACAGTTAAACGATATTTATATAACCTTAGGTGAAATGGGGGTCTGTTACCTCTTCACCCGTCTCCAATTCGACTGGGACGGGGGTGCTTTTGGAAAATGGATGACATACAAAACTGTGATCGGCTTCCTATCCAATTTCTTATCCATGGCGGTGCTAACCTCATTCCTTAAAATGTCCGACGCTGGAACGGGTATCGTCGCAGCGTTGGGAAATTTAATCTCTTCGCTTGTCTTCACCTTCGCCACGTCGCCTTTCCTCATGTATCTCGCCCCCTTAGGAACTCTTCTCTCTGGAGGAGGAATGGTCGTCCCTAGAGCGACCATCTCCAAAATCGTGCCAACTTCTGAGCTGGGAAAAATTAATAGTTTTATCGGAAGCTTAGAGTCAATAATTCCTCTCGTCGCGAGTTCGCTGTACACTGGAGTTTACACCAGATATTTGGATATCCTGCCGGGGTCATTCTTCCTCATTTCTGCGGCCGTCGCGGTCCCACCCATTTTCATTTATTCGTAAGAATCTTATCTTAACAAGGCATTATAATTGTAATACTACAAATGATAATAACAATAACCATCCTTATTCCTTCAAATAGATGGTTCCTATCGCAGGACAAGCCAAAAAAGAAGGACGACAAGAAAAAGAAGTAGAAAATAAAACCTTACATACAAACTTGCGACTTGGAAGTATTATCTCTTCTCAAATCACACAAATTAATTTTACTTATCATACATCTTATCAAAAACTGCGAATAAAAATAGTAATAAATTGTGTCTCATCTCGATTTACTAAATAAGTACATAAAATCTCACTCTGCCTCCTATTTTCTTCACCTTTATATAATAAATTTTTCCTAATTATTCTTAATTTATTGTCTCATATAATATGAGTCACATTGCATTATTACCATTAATTACAATCTTTGCAGCCATTAAAGTTAATTATTTGCATTTAAATTTTCCGAATTGGAGTGAAAAAGTCGATGACCTCCAATGACGTCGCACTTTCTCACAGTTCATTTCTCCAACTTTTTTCTCCCTCAGACAAGTTTTCTCGCATCTTTTTCTCATTCTCTTCACTCTTCTGCCTTGGACGGACCTATTTTTCTTCTTTCGCCAATCGTGACGCCACGACGACATCAGTGTCGACAAATCCAGTTGTACCAGAGGTAAAAATAATTACGAGTAATTGCAAGAGTTTATGTTGCTGTGGGAGAATTTTAAAACGCTGAGCACGAGGTTTCTTGGAGGTAGGTGATTTGAAAATATTGGGTTTCCAGAATGCAGAAGTAATAAATATTTAACATCTTTTTGATTTCCAGGAATTACAATGGGTAGGAAACGTGGTCATCGTCAAAAGCCGAGGGGGCCCTCTTCAATCAGGTCGCAGGACGATTCATTCTCGAAGTTGGATGAGTGTAGTGACATCGAGGAGAAGACCAGCAACTTGTCCCTTTGCGACAGTCCCATTCTCACGCAGGCATTTCGAACAACGAGAAGCAGTACGAGCAAGAATGCGGGGTTATCGATGGGGCTCGAAGACTCTGGCATGGGGTCAAGTCCATCCAGAAAAAGGAGTAAAGCTAGTGGTGAGAAAAATAAGCATTTTTACTTTAATACGAGGGGTCAGTGAACCTAGTTTTCGGTTGGAGTGCACCAAACCGAAAAATTTCTAAGTTCCCGACACGGGAGCTTATGGCAGGGGAAAATTAATTTGATAAGTGTCAAATTGTCAGCTAAGTTATCATGAATAGGTTAGGTTGAAAAAATTCTTCCCCGGCCATAAGCTCTCGTGTTGGGGACTTAGAACTTTTTCGTGCGCACGGCTTGGTGTACTTCAACCCTACTTTTCATTGACATTTTTTACCTGTTTTCTAATTGTATTAATAATTAAGATTTGTCGCCTTCTGTTGGACCATCGGAATCTGTGACTTCCAATAAAAATGGGGATACGACCTTATTAAGTCCAATCGTAGCTTCTGAAAATGAACGAGTCAGAACAAACAGGCCTTCACCACCACGACCAAATCATGATGCGAAGCCGAACTCTCAGGAGAATAAGATAAAGATGCACCATAACCCAATTCAGACGTCCACGCCCATCAAAAGTGTAGTGCCATATCAGACCTACTCGTTTTTCAGTTTGATCACGGGAGATGAGGAGGAAAGCGCTGTGGTGAACACTACGCCACAACCTGGTAACAACGATCTCAACACGCCAGTTCGGATGCAGCGAACTCCTGCAAGGTTTGAAATAGTGGCAATTAAATAATTACAAAAATGTACTAATCAAATTTTCTTTCGTTAGAAGGATGAACAAAAGTATTGATGGAATCTTTCCCAATTTATGTCAAAAAACCCCGGAACCACGCCGTCGAAATTCTCCCAACGAGAGCCGAGCAGATGGTGATACTTCTAACGTTATTCTAGTGCCACTCTATCACAAATTCGACCTGGACGCGGGTTTTGATGACCAGCCCGGTGGAAGTGGCAGGTATGGCCTCCGACCGCGCAACCTATTCAACAGCGGTGTTTCTATCAAGAAATATGACATGTTTGGAGAAAATGACACTTCGGTGGAAGATGAGAAAGCTGACAAGGATGATGAAGACGTTTTCTTCTTTTTGCAAAGTGACGATGACGAGGATGATTATTTCGAGATGGACGATATCATGGAGGGTCAGGAGAAGAAGAGGTTTGTGAAAACAGCCTAATTATGTACTGCTCATAATTTAGCTAATAATTACGTTTTGCAATTACTTCATGTAGGTCTTCCTACTCTGGAATTCGTGGTCCCAAAGCGGACGCAAAAGCTTTAAGTTTGGTTACCAATTGTCCCGTCAGTGTGAAATGGTTGGTCGACAATTTTGAGTATTGTCCTGGTAGAAGTTTACCCCGTGGCTTCGTTTATGATCAGTATGTCCTCCTGTGCAATCAGAACGCATTGGAGCCAGTGAATGCGGCCTCGTTTGGAAAACTGATAAGGTAATGGCACCATAATAATATGTATCAAAATCTCTATGCATATGAAATTTTCTAAATTATTTTGTTAAATGTATATAGATCCGTCTTTCCTGGACTGAAGACACGTCGACTGGGAACTCGAGGGAACTCCAAGTATCATTATAACGGCGTTTATCTTAAGACAAATAGTCATCTCATGGTTATACTCAACCTAGTTAAGACACAGCAGGGATTAAGTTATGATGGAAATGGGAAACGGGGGCGCAGAGTGCGTCGCTGTTTTGAAGGAATTCCAAGTAGGAGTGATATTTTCAAGACGAAAGAACATCCCGACGAATTTGCCGATTGTTCTCCACTGGTACTAGATATATATTAATTGATTATGTTATGCTAACTTGTATAATGTTTAGGATTATCTTGGAAAACGTCGCGACACTGGCCCGTTTGTCCAACTGCAAGTTGACCATTCCGTTACCCTTTCCTTTGACTCGGGGTTACTGAATGTTTTTGAGTCAATGTATCACTCGCATTGTCAGGTGGGTAAAAACTAAAAAAACAAGTTGGTTGCCAAATTGTTTTCACATAACTTTTACATAATGTTTCTTTTGTACGTAGATGATTTTGACCCACGTTGAAAAGTTTGATCTGAGACTAATCTATAATGAGTGGAAGCTATTTTGGCGAAACAAGCCTCACAGTACACATGAGGAAGTTGGAGCTGTCCATTACAAGAGTCTCATGTCCAAGTATGTCACATAATGTCAAAACCTACTAAAATGTCTTTAAAAACCTTTTAACTCTTTCCATTCTTACAGATCTACTCTGTTCAAAATATGCTCACTGGAATCTGTCCAACAATACATCATGTCCATGGATCTATTCACGTACCAGTACGCCATCGATATTTTATATCCATGCTTGTCCAAAGGAATGCCTAGTAAGATACACATTGATTAAACTTGTATTTTTGTTACCTCGCATATTAGCAACTAACAAGTTTATAATTTTACAGTCTCAATGGTCAACACCTTGCGATCTTTCATTAAGGAAGGTCTATACCTCTTTAACAAAATCTTGGAAGACTATCCCAAATTGATGGTCAGTATCAAGACACGCTGTTTCCAAACGTTGCTCGTCATGTTGGATGATTACTCAAACTTGAACAGGATGCTAAAGTCGGCCGTGTCCACTATTCGAAATGTGGACAATATACAAGCCATGCATTCAGAACTTTGTCGTTCCATTAACTTTGAGAACATGGAGAAACAAGTAGCTCTGTTCAAGAAGCAGAGTGCACTTCTCGTTCAAAATAATCTAATTCTTGAATTCAGACAGAACTTGGATCAACACCAGAATTACTCGATAAAATGTTGGGTTCACTGGGGGGAAATGGTTGCTCAAAGATTAGTTGAGGAAAGCAATCGACAGGTTGCAGAAGGAGAAGTCACAAAACAAATGGAATGCCCCTTTTCCATTTGGAAAAATGCAAGGTATGCATACATAAACCGGCTTCATTACGCAAATATAACTAAATTAATTTGCTAAGTCATTTAATGTTTTTGCTTTTGATTATGTAGCGATCGCATGTTGGGAGCCATTGTAAAAGATAATGCTGTCAGTTTTGGGGTTTTTAAAGGATTCCTGCAATGGTGTGATAACATAATCCAACACATTACAAAGTTGACCATTGCGCGCTCCGAGGGCTACACTCTTCCCATCTTTTACTACGAAACGATTCTAAGGGTTAATATTTATTTGGAAACCACATCATCCTTTATAAGTAATTCTATTTAACCGTCATTTATTTATATTTATTTTCTTTAGGAACGTGATCAAACGTGGCGAGAAAATACCAAAATTTACAAATCCATGACTCTCGCTCAACAACAAAATCGTGATCAACCAGGAGGGAGTCGTAATGTCCATGCGGGCGCTGAGGAAATTTTAGGACCTGCACATCACTTCATTCTGAATGACAATAGCAATAGCAACGATCCACTCTCAAATTGTGAGTGGATTATGCAAATATACTTATAATAAATTATCATTTTAAACACTAATATAATTCCTCTCTTTTATAGATAATCCTCCCATCAGTCCAGATTACCGAAAGCCTACCGTAACATATTTCAATCCAATGTCATTAACAAACGGACAAACTATGTCGTTCGCCACAAATGCGCCGGGACCCTCTACGTCATCGTCGGATCACACCGTCCCTGACAACGTCTACCACAACTAAGATTTACGTTTGAGAATATCAGAAGATCAATCACTCAATCATGTTTTTAATCAAATATTTGAAGAATTTTTATCTTGTTAATTCAGAGATTGCTATCTTACCATTGTCATTATTATGCTACCTACATTTATTTAATTATTATTAATTATTATGCCTTTAACATATATTTTATCTTGTTTCGTACATACTGATTGTTTCCAAATTCTAGTCTAATTTGTGATGATACAATTATCCTGCCTGATATAAACTGCATAAACTTGTATGTAAAAAAAAACTTTTGATCTGATTTACTTATTCCCTTCTAAATATTACTATCTGTACATGCATATTTAAAAATATTGTTTAGCCAGCAGGGTGTGGAGTGCTTATTAACATCATCACACCAACTTTTAACTTACTGAACTAGATTAATGTCCTATAAATTAGTGGATCGTAATTAATTTGCGGTCCACTCCACGCAAAATGAAGCTCCTTTTTAAAATTTAATGACTTTATTTCTTCAAAAGCTATTTCAATTCAATTTACTGACTTAACTTTTCATTGTTTTCTCCCCGCAGTGAACAAGGAGGAGAGGATGGAACGGAATTGAAACGAAAAGTGAACAATGTCCCCGCAGGACGTATACATATACGGCGAGATGATCTCTTGCATATATAGTGGCCAAAAAATGGTAATACAACAACTTGTATCTCATCTCGGTTTCAATTATGTTTCATAAACAATTAATCTGCATAGGTGAAAATGCGAACGAATGTTTTACCACTATTATTCGGACACAAAGAAAACCAAATTCCACCATCATCGCAACAGGTGCGTTTTTTGCCCGTATTTTCCAATCCAATCGTTCAATGATTGATTTCTTCTGTATTGAGGCAGAAGATCCAATCCAATCTACACGGGAGCTAAATTATCTATTTTGCTTATTGGCCATTTGTGATCTAGTTTTTTTCTCATGCAAATATCTAAATGTGTCAAGTAATAAACTGATGATGGAACATTCCGTTGTTTAGTAGGGTGGAACTAATTGGGACGAGGAGAAGAATGGAAGTACAAAAAAACTGCAGTATGTAAATGCATTTTCGGATTCGAATATTTTCCGGATTTTCCCATTTTTTCCCCTCTACTTTAAAATAACTACGCACTTTTCTTCTAAATATTAAGGTTAATGAAAGTATGTTTACCGTGTAGGACATAATTTTTTAGGTAGTCATTGACTCGTTCAATGCTTAAAACCGGATATATTTAATAATACCGAGCACGGTCAATTATCGTATAAAAAAGTCATTAACCAAGCTCATGATTTTCTTTGTGGTATGATTTCTCTCTCACCTCTCGCAATTATTTTAAATATTAAATCTAACCACTTGCCGAGATGACGAATCGCACGCCCTTGTCGATTCGAAATTATGAAAATTTCCTTAATATAGATGCACTTTTTTATATATAGGTTAAGCCCGTCACGAATCCTATTCTATCGCCGGGTCCATTTCCATCTCAGTTCCCACGCTATACGAAAAGAAGAAAACACGGGTAGGAATTATGCTACCCTTTTAATTTAAAAAAGTATGTAAATGACAAGTCGACATTTTATTGATGTACGTATATACATACATAAAAGTTGCCATTTAACAGTTCGACATCGAAGCGACCCCATTTAATTAACACGTCGTTCATTATCATCCCGTAAAAAGAATCCGTCTAATTGTTCCCCGGTGTAAAATAGCTGTCTATCTATTTATCTGTCAACCCTGTAATCCACTCCACTCGCTCCACACGTGGATCTCTTTCTTTCTGTCGGTATAGTTGTTACAATTTTACCAACTTATTTACCTCTGCCTCCATTATTTCCGACCAAAATAAGTGCAAGTAGTTAATAGTAAAAGTAAGTTTAAAGCGGATGACCGAATTTACACCCCAAACTAAACCACGAACCATTATGCTCCAAAATATAATTGTTCCCACATCTCATTCTCGACTTTGATCCTTTAATGAAATGGAAATGAATTCTTCTTCTTTTCCGACCTTTCAATACCCATGCACGTTCGTTCACTCGCTCACGTCAATTCCCATGCCACAAGAAGAAAGACGTGAAAATAAAAATCTTGAACTTGGACATCTTCCTTTCTTTCTTTCTTTATAAAGATGTGTGTGCGTGGTCAGGGTGAGAACTTTTCTTGTCATTGTATTTTATTGTATTGTGATTCACGACAAAAAAAAGTAATTTTGTGGCGAGTCAGATTTTAATTTTAATTTTAACACCACCACCTTCAAAAGACCAATTTCGGTGGTAGGTAATTGGGACACATAAATAGATTGCATTGACCGATTAAAGATGAAAATAAAATTGCCCTGGATTAGTTTTCTTATGAGATATTTTTTATTAACGAATGTGTGTGAGCTTAACATTTAGGATTTCGAATTAAATTTTGAGTCATTCAAATTCCTTCCTCGGGGGGAAGAGATTTGTCAGATTATTCATGAATCGGAATGTTTTTTTTAATCTTGGGAACAGTGGCCGCGGAAGTAAAGGGACAATGTGCCCACGGTTGTTCGATGTCCCCATCATCTCCCCATCTTATATAAACCCTGCCCTCCCCATCCTACAATGGCAATGTCTCCACACCTTCCGCGGCCACTGAGAGAAAATGCCTGCAAAATTTAACTCATTATTGATTGCGATTCGAATGTGAAGGCAGACAAATTAGTGCCGGACAGCGGGTGGGTGTCCCCTCCTCGTCATCAGCGTGTTAAGCAAAGTAGAACCAATTTTCTCAAAACAAACAAACAATGCCGATGACAAATGGAAAGGCGTGAAGAAGCGGACGGTATTCCCCTGACAAATATTTTTTTATTCACGGCGCTTACTGAGCAAAGTTAATTTTAATAAAGAAATCTATTCGAAATGACCTCAAGGAATGTTCTTTTTTAGTGATTTTTTATCTCTAGGAAATTGAAAAATTAGAATTTTCACTAGAGAATTGGACTCGCTGCACATGCACAGGATTTGGAATGTGGGTGGTGTGGTTTACTGTGGGTGGTGTGGGTTGACGAGGCGTGAAATTCTGCCGTGTTTTGTATCCGATGACAATGAAATGGAAAATATTTGGTAATTGGAAACGCGTGGAGAAAGTAGGATGGCATCATGACACGGATTTTTATTCAGTTATGCCACATAAATATTGTGATTTTCGTACTAAAATTGATTACAGATAGGTGCTCGAGAAGTAGGTACTTTTTGGGAAGGATGTCTTGAGAAAGTCTCAATTTCCCCACAAGTAGCCACGCAAGAAGCAGTTTAGTCTTATCATGACATGGATTTTCTTATATTTCGTAAATTATTCAGTTATGCCACATAAATATCGTGATTTTCGAACTAAAATCAATTACAATTTTCTGTGCAAAGTACTTTTTGGCGACGAATACCGTGAGAAAATCTCAATTTCCCCACGAGCAGCAACGCAAGAAACACAAGTCTCATCTTGCCTCAGTTTAATACCTTGTCCTCATTTACAAATCTTACTGGATACAAAAAAACACCACACCTCAAATTAATCCATTTTACTCTAAAATTATGTATTTTCTTGACCATCTTTATCTAATTTACTTAACCCAATACTAAAATAACTTGACCAAAACCCAATCCAACCCAATTTCCCGAATTCATTCTTCCTCTCCTCCTTCTTTCTAAATTGGGAAATAAATTTCATAGAATTTTATAATTTTCTTCCTCGTCATCATCATCATCATTTTTCCAACTACAATAAAATCACCTAAAAACCAACCGAATTAAAAGAACAACTGTCACCATTTCCAAATGCCTAAAATTCCTTCATCCATCTTCATTTCAATCTTTTTGTCACCACCAAACTAAACAAAACTAAACCGAATTCAACCACCTACCCAAACCTAAACTACCCGTCGTACTTTTTACAATTCATAATCCAAATCTCTTTTTCTGCACAATCAGAATCAAATCAAAATCAACAATACGGATTGTAGTAAGACGTGAAACGACACAGGTGCGGATTCCAACTTCCGTGACATGATTATTAAACAGCAACATACACACAACAAAAACCTGCCTTATCTTACCTTATCTTATCATCATCACCATTACATTATCACTTCATTGGTCAACTTAACCCTAAAAATAGAAATAATTCCAAATTAACCCATCTCCCTTTAAAAGAATTACAAATTATTATGCTTTCCCGATCAAAAAAAAATTGACCCAAACAACTCCCAAATAAAATAACTAGGCCGTCTTCTTCTATCACTTGACTCCATTTATCTAACTTAATTTCCAAAATGGAAACTAAAAGTGGAACCTTTTCTGCACCCTGGAGTGTGTCGGACGAGAGTGTTTTTCGACACATTCAGAATTCAGATAATTGCGAACGGGGGAACGATTTCGAGAGAAAAAGTGTGTTCCCAATAGGAAAATAAAAAGAATTCGAATTCTTCATTACACATGTACATACATTTTATTTACACGATCCATTCCATCTCCCCCATTGTCCTCGGCGAAGTATTATTCTATTTGCGGCCGCGGAAGCTGTGGGGACATCTGGGGACATAAACATTGTAGGATGGGGGAGGGATAGGTTTATATAAGATGGGCAGATGATGGGAACATCGAATAACCCTGGGGACATTGTCCCTCCGTCCCCACCCTTCCGCGGCCATTGTTTGCGCTAAGAAGAATACCAAGAAGAAGAAGATGCGATTATCATCGTCGTCATTCTTGGTGACAAATGGTGGCGAATTTGGTCGCGATCCTGCTTAAGCTACGTATTTATAATTGGCTGTAAAGTTAAAATAGTTGTCGTCGGATTGGATTGGATGAGTTTGAAATGGAATTCTTGGTTTTTAAAGCTATCCTGTATTTGGGGTTGCATTAATAATAAAGAAAAGTGAGTGAGTGAGTGCTAGTCATGTGATGAACAAGTTTCTTCTTCTTCTTTTTCTTTGTGACAATGAACTTGTTTCAACAATTGTTTCGGACAATGGAATGGATTCGTTCTCCTTTAAGAGAAGAAATGAAAAAATCGTCTTCCTTCGTCTCCTTCTTCATCACTCATCCCAAATTTTTAGATGGATGTGATGTATAAATAGGTGCTTATTTAGTTGAGCGGGTGAGAATTTGCGCTCATTTATTATAATTTTGGTCGCAATTAAGTAAGCAGAAAGAATGAAGATGATTTTTTAATGAAATTAGTAGAATGAGGAAATTTCAGGAGTAGAAGAAAATTGTACATATTTTCTGAAGCGTTTGGGACAATTTAATGAAGAAAATGATGAGCTAACGAAAAGTTGAACGACATAATTTTATCGGGTCGGATTTTAGGAAACTTTAAAAAGTAGATTTAGTTTGGAAGAAAATTTCAAGAATAGAAAACCGTACATATTTTTTGAAGCATTTGGTACAACTAAATGATGAACTAATTTTAACAGACCGGATTTCAGGAAACTTTAAAATATTGGGAATCATTTTTTATGGAACTTCGGTCTAAAATGTCACGATTTTTAACCGGAACTCAGAATCTTTATCATTCTCTCTTCCCACGTGTCTGAAATTATTGATTGATTGATTCTCATATTTCTTCTACCTGTGACCGGCTTTCATTCGCACGGGTACATTTTTTTGCAAAAATAACGCCTCGATTGATGCCACTTATGTACCCGTACATAAATTTACTCTCATCCTCTTCTACGCACCCATTGTTTGAATGTGAAAAAAAATCAGGCAATTGAGCCGTACACATGTACGTATTTACAAGTTCAGGTAGCCTAAAACTACCCAGTGAACCAGATGCTACTTAAAAGACGCCGAATGTTGAGGGATTGTTGCTAAAATTACCTCAATTTAGCTCATGCAGTGTCCACCACCCTAAAAATAGGTGTCATCATCACCACCACTACCAGCTTCTGCATAAATAGCGTCCACCTGCCAAATCCTGACGACAGTCAACATCTCGTCGACATTATCATCGTCTCAAGTTTTAGATAGTAAATATTTGGAAGAAGAAAAGTGGGGAAAATGAGACGAATCATCTCTCTCCTCGTGGTGGGGTGTTGTTGTCTCGTCGTGGGTGTGGCTGCAGGGAGCAGTTCGCCCTCCTCCGCGGCCTCCTTCGTCTACTCAGCGGGGAGAGGGAAGGCTGGAAAGCAGTTGTCGGGTGGCAGTGTCTCGTCGCCATTAGTGTCGTCAGTCGGCGGAGGAAATGGCGGTGGGGTGGCGAGCAGTAATTCCTTTCAGACGGCGTACGTAGAGCCGAGAGGGGATTACGGAGGGAGTGGGAGTGGTTGGGGGGGAGGTGGTGGTGGTGGGGGCGGTGGGGGAGGGGGTGTCTACCATTACGCGATACAGCCACATGGTGGGGGTGGTGGTGGGGTAAGTTGCGATGACTTATCGACGTCTTTATCAAGAATGGAGTATAATTCGTGATGGGTTATCATCTCTCATCTTAGGGCGGCGGAGGCTGGGGTCCAGCACCGATTTATTACCAGGAGGATGAAGGCGGGATAGAGAAGGGTCTCCTGGGATTACTAGGATTGACCGGGTTGGGTGGACTTAAGGGTCTCTTGGGGTTGGCGGCCTTGTTAAAACTGCTCCTCCCCCTTCTCCTCTTGTTCATCCCCCTTCTTCTCCCCCTTCTGTTGGCGAAGGCCGCGTTATTGTTCGCGTTACTGCTTTTAATTCCAATTCCAGTAATTTTATGACGATTTTATCCATAAAATCTGGTCATATTTTTTTATCTTATCACACTTTTTTGCTTATCTAAATCCAGGTAATCACGCCGGGTCGAAGCATCAATAGCAAAGAGAATAATGAAGTCACGGCCAAATCCATGCTTCAGGTATTTCATTCATTCATTAACTGTGTTTACAAGTCGTAAAATTATTAATTCCCAAACAATGCAATTCTCTTATCAGGACACGCTGGGTGACCTCATGACTAAAATCCCGACCGATTTGAGTCACATAATCGGCAAGATTAAGGACTCTGAATGGTTCCGGGGTGCATTTTCGGCAATGTCGAAGAAGGAAAAAAAGTCCATGAGGGATAAGGATGTCGTCAGGGCGTCAGAATTGGCGACGAATTCGATCACTTCGTCTTCATCGAGTACGAGTAATGCTGCCAACAATGCTAACTCTCTCTCCACCACTGCCAACAGTTAGTTAAGAGTGGAATTATTCTCAATTTTTTTTTAATTTTCGAAAAATTAGAAGAATTTCATATCGAAAATATTTCCTATTTATTTTTTCAATAATTTTTTTTTACCAAACTTTTTATCACAAAGCAGAAAAAAATTACAAAAAGAGAGACACGTTTTAACACAATTTTAAATACGACTTTTACTCCAATATGATACGAAAAACTGACAATTTTTATGTACAACACAATCCAAAGAAAAAAAATACGACAAATCGACAAATTTTTTAACTTTACTGACTTTCAACTAAATGTAAATGACGATAAATGACGAGCTTTTTTATAGTTTTGACTTGTGGTGCAAGGTGAGAAAATTGGTTAAAGTTACTTTTTAATTGTACATTTTACCATAAATAACTCGACGGACTAACTTTAATTACGATTTTTTGGGGAATTTGAGATTTCAACTTGACTCTTAGGATTAGACTCGGACTAATACTGGTATTATAGTATATTTATTTACATAAATACGTATTATTATGACGAAGAATTTAGGAAGACTACACAAATTAAACTATTTATGATGATGATAATGGACTTTATGATGCACATATACACGCACAAACACAATACTCAAATTAATTATTTAATTTTAGAAGATTGTAAGTAAAGATTAATTATGTAATTATTTAACATCCATTTGTAATGGATTGTGAAAAATGATGAGAAAATCGCGAAATAAATAAGTTTCAGAAACATAATTGTTTTTTATTAATCAAAGAACGGCTCATGCATGCATTTCATAATCGTAAGTGTGTCTACTAAATATTGGTAAATTGACAACTGAAATTTATTAAAATAAATTGTCGGCATCGAAAGAAACAAAATTACAACAAATGAAATGAGCTAAATTTAAGCAAAATTTAAATAGTCTTTATTAAATCTTTGTTAATATAGTATTTTTTAAAAGTATGAAAAGTTTTTGGCACATACATATTTATGTCAAATGCATTTTAATGCAGAATAGTTAACATTTTTAAATTCATGATAAATATAACATTTCTTAAACTATGTACTTATCCTTAATAGTTAATTAGTTAATTTAAATGTAATGATTTTCAAGTCCAGTTTTCCCCATCATCTCTCCTCCACTTATTAAAGTGTAGTGTACGCCTACAAATAATTCTAATATCCGAAGTAGGTAGCATAAATGTAATATTTTCATGTCCAGTTTTCCCCATCATCTCCCTATTTCTACCTATGATAAGTGACTTATCAAAGTGAAAACCCACAAATAATCCTAATATCCGAAGCAGGTAACAAAGTAGTATCTTTTTAATATATATTTACGAGGTAATAAATGCAGCAAAAGTATTATTTTGAAAAAGGTAATAGCTCAAGCTTTTCCGTTTGTATGCAAATGTGTACTGGCAAAATTTCATGACTTTTTTTGAGTGACTGAAAAATTTCACATTTTCCTGACACGTTTCGAACTCCCAGGCTTATCGTCATCCTTCGAACCATCCTCGCTGCTTGTGGGACTCGATTTTCCACACGTTTTGATAATATTCTTGATCTCGAGGGGCAGCGAGGAGGATGACGATGACGACGATGAAGAAGAAGAGCGTCGTCCCCCGCTTTTTTTCGTACCACGACCAACACCACCTTCATTCTTCTTTTGCAGTTTTCTTAAACCTCGTTTCCGTTCATTCCTCCGCTCGACGAAGACCTTTTTTACGGCCGTTAATTCATCCGAGGTCAACTCACCGGCATCCTCGACCCGATAATTGTACGGGTCGAGGCCATCCGCCTGATTGTTCTTCATCCAAGTGATGGCCCCTAAAAAGTCGAGTTATTTAATTAGTTAATTAATTATTAATTGGGTTAAAATCTAGTATGTCTTATCATTACTGATAATCGCTTCTAGTTTGTTAGGGTCCAATGGAGTACTTCCTTTCCTCCCGGAAACCGTGCTGTTCAAAATGTCCTCATTGGAGAAGAAATAGTCAAACAAAGCGTTGGATGCTTTACCCAATCCCATTTTTATTTGAGAGAAACCTTTTGCCCAAGCTGGGTGCTCAATTTCCTTATTATTCACGATCTGGGGGGAGAAATAATGTTTAGTAAATTTGAATAATTAGAGAAGATTATTGTCAAATTGCTTACAATGGGTGGCAAAGAGGTGCGACGTGGCGGACGGTTTATTTTGCGACCGGTGTCCTTGGATGGGCCGGGAATTTGAGGTTGTTGTTCAAGCGATGCAAGGTTTACTTGCTGAGTTTTAAGAAGAAAAAATTGGGCTATCGAGGTGGATAAGATTTAAAACCACTCATTACCACTTACCATTTCCGGCCATGCTGGTACTGCTGCAACTTCTTCCCGTTGTGTAATCGGAACATGGATCGAGCTCCAGTCCGCCTCGGTCAAACTGCCCAAGTCTGAATCAGAAATGGTCGTCAATTCATCCCCAAACGGTGTCAAGGGTGAATTGACTATCGGCTCGAACAAGTCTGGACGGAAATGAAGGAGCAGCTGTCCATGTAAAGAAGAGGAGGAGGTCGTCGTCGAGGAAAACGAGGTCTGTGTCGACCCCGAAAAACTCGGACCTATCAGCGTCATCATCGTCGTCGTCGTCGCGATAACCGGTACCGCGGCTAGATCTCTACGACACACGATAAGCATACTCGATAAGCATACTTACCATAATTTGCAAAAAAAAAAATTCTTACGTCATCTCAATATCCGCCATGCCACTTTCTGGCAACGAAGCCTGGCCTTGGCCATCTTCTTCCTCCTCTGACTTTGATAACTCCAGTTGTGCCAAAAATTCGAAAACTATTTCGCCCGTTAGTGTGTCAAAGGGGCAATCTCCTCCCCAGACGCCCAAGCCCCAGCACGTTTCACAATTACAGATTCTTTCCGGTAATGGTGACGACGACGCCTCATTCGAAACGATCGGTTCAGTGGTCGTGGGCACTAAGTCGTACAGTAATTTCTTGTTATATCCAAATTGTGGAGGAGACTGCGGCGATGACAGGTGCGGAACGATATCGACGGGTTGAAACTTGGCTAATATGGTGTCACTACAAACATAGCTGTTTCTCCTCGCCCTCTGTTCCTTGACGCCCTTGCTGCTCGATGAAAGTTCACCGTAACCCATGATGCCAGCAAGGTATCGATAAAAACCTCAATTTGTTTAGTTGGCTCCCTTATCGCCACTTCTCCTTCTCAAGAGTCAATCCAGGTGTGTTAGCTAAGAGTGGATCGTGAAATATTCTATATCTCCGCCACAGAATAAATTTCCTCGGTGATGATGAATCCTCATGAACCGTTCATGAATGGAGGAATGCACGGCCCAATTTCCACTTCCACTGAAATGCTCCAACCTTACCACGTAAATATGCAGCTTGTCCAAGGAGTGCGAAAAGTAAAATGGCGTGTTTGCAAATAATATGCAGACGTGCCAAGTGCACAATGGGATTCATGTAATCGCATGTACACCCAAGGTTGAAGAGGTTGAGGAGAGAGGAAAAAAACGGGTTGGTTAGGCAGTAGCACAGCGTCATGATCTCATGGAGGAAAAACTGGGCGTCTCTGCAGTCATCTTCATATGTTAATACCTATTTAGTTTATTCAGCTTTCGTGCTATGTTTGCTGTTCATGAGGAGAGAGACATGTGTATGCAAGTATTCATTCGCGAATTTTAGTACAGACAGTATGGATGGATATGCGAATCCGAATTGGCATTTGAAACGCCATACATGTACGTAGCTGTATGGAAGAAGCGAGCTGTTGGCAGATTTGCCCTCATGAGTGGTTAAATTAGCACGTTGATGTGACATGGTGCTATGTACATTATTGTGCATAATGTATGGACAACGAACAACGACGCAACAGCAGCCGAAGTTTGTCTTGTGATGCGAATAAATCTCTGGTTGAAATTGAAATTGGTCATGACGCGATGCAAATAAAAAGACATACGTGGCTGGTTATATATCTACAATACATACGTAATATGTATGTAAATATCGACACTGATTTAGTACCGAGTTGACATCCATCCATCCATATTATTCTCATCTCATCCTAGACAAATTCTCATCTTCGCCAATGAATGAATGCCTCAACAGGATTAACTACTTTACTTGGTAAACTTTAAATGATAATGGATTTCTGGGAAATATTGATGTAGTTGGAAGGATATTGGATATGAAGCATAAATTAATGTTACTTTGTAAATAGCAGATGTAAATAAATATGTATCCAACATGAATAATATTTTGTCACTCGCTGCTCCATGATTTTGCAGAGTTTTTAATGCACCCTTGTTGTTGTTGAATTGGAGAGAGGATGCAGATTACATTTTATCTCGACGGATGAGAGAATAATAAAATAAATATTTCGTTTATCATCATGCATCGCTGGAGGACATTCCAGTCAAGTGGTTTGGCTAAAACGTATGGATGGATGGATGGTGCTTATTATTTTTGCAATGAATATACAATTACGCACACAGGGAAATGTCCAACAAAAAGAGGATGATAAGGTGTCAATGATTGATCTGATGAGAGAAAAGACATTGTTTTTGAGTCGGTCGTTCAGTTCGTTCACATTCAAAGTATCGAATTGAATGCATTTGTTTGAAATACATGAAAATAAATGGAGATTATGTACTTTGGTTGGTATAAAATTTAATTTATGTAGTTTCTAAAAAATAGTTGAAAAGGTACATACGTTTTTTCTTTCCTTTTGGAATTAAAGGCGATTATTAGGAAGAAGTTGCTCATATATTTTGCTTGTCATGAAAGGTACACGATTAACAAGGTCTCAACATTGTCACTAATATGATTTACGTGTCGTTGCCGTTTCAATATTCCTCGTCGTTTTCGTCACCTTGGTCCAGAATAAGGGGATGACGGCCCGGATGAAGATGATGATGACTTGTTCATATTTAAATGTCGACTATGTTGGTATCTCTTCTCGGTGAAGACTTTAGTCTCAATTTTTTCCTTGTCCTCTTTTGAGGGGAAGACGTTACATTCGTCGAAGTCATTGTCCCAGTGAAGGACCAAGTTTGCATTGCCTTGATTTCGTCGCATCCATTCAACCGCTCGAATTATGGCGAGTTTCTTGACCGGGCATAATTCCGTCGTTCCATTTTTCCCGTTTAGCGTACACTTTTTGATTTCTTGGTCGGAGAATAAGGCGAGGAAAAGGATCCAGGCAGCCTTCACGGGTTCAGCCTCTTCCCAAGCTTTTTTCCACTTTTCGTGCTCTACGAGGAGACCGTCGATGAAGATGAAGGAGGATGACCAATTGGGGAGGAGCGTTTCCAAAAACTCTTCTGGGAAACGGTAGAATAATTCCTCCAGTTCGCCAAATTCGTAGATTGGGGCGTCTCTCGCGACGGGGATGAGGGGTGGAAGGGCCGGATGGGGGGAGAGGGAGGAGACAGACCCGCCAGGGGATGAGGCCCGGTCATCAGATGTATTTGAGGTTCGGTCGAGATCGAGGAGGTTATTTTGCGAGTCGGAATCACCTTCTATGAGGACATTGTTACGATCTAGAAGAAATTAGTCAGCACATTCAGTAAGGTTATCGATGCAGATAAGTAGCGAAAAATGGGATTAATATTTTATATACCGAATCTGGGAGCTTGTCTCTTCCGGTTTTTCCTATTTGCCTGACTCCTTCGCTCTGTAAAGACTTTTTTCTCAATCTTATCCTGTTCTTCTTTACTGGGGTGGACGTTATGTGAAGGGATCGCAGGATTGAAGAGGTAAGGATCCTGCTCCTTATTTTTCATCCAACATGACGCCCCTACAAATGACCCATTTTATTCAAACTTTTTCCCTGCAAACTAATATTTATTAAAAACTTACTCAAAATCGCCAGCATTTTTACTGCAGATAACTCCTGCGTCTGATTTTTCCCATTCAGCGTACAAATTCGCATTTCCTCCTCCGTGAACAAGGCTTCAAACAGACATTTCGCCGAGTTGATAATGTCACTCTCGTAAAACGCTAAAAAATCATGACTCGTTTAACTCCACTCTTTTTAATTATTGAAGAACTGTTAATTAATTAAACTAACCTTTCGCCCACGCCTTCCTCGACACGCGATGACCATCTACAAGCTGCGAACAGTTCCAGAAAAACATATAATTATAATTAAGTCGTAAACAAACTACTTAATTACATTAAACTTTTCACTCACGATTGGCACGTTTTGCACAAAATCTGCAAACGCCTCCCGAACTTGTGTCTCATCCCTTAGAGAAAAAGGTTTCGGATTTGCCGACCGTGGAAAATACTTTTGCAACACGAGCCTCCTCAGCTCATCTTGTCCGTACGGAAATTTCTGCGGGATGGGTGTGCCGCCCCCACCATTCTTCATATTTCCGTTATATCCACAGTGATTATTCGATCCCATATTATTATCGTTGCTATTTGTCATCCCCTTTTCCAGGGCGAATTTCAATATGCGACAGTCTGCCGAGAGAGGAAAGAAAAGTTAAATAAAATACAATGAAATGACACACATTAAACATGACACGACATGGATGATGTTGATAACCAAACGTAATCTTACTCAGGGGCGAACGAACATATAATTACATTTGATTATCTAAACTACCCTAACTTTATTATCTTGTAAAATGATTATATTATATTCTTCTTACTGCTATCCACCAAGACTAGAGATTTTCCACCGCTGGAATTATTATTCGTCGCCGAATTGGCGTCGCCGCAACGTGTCGTTAATTCGTCCCTAGGAGTGGAAGACGCACGGGGGGTTTGGCGACTGTGGGAGGAATCCATGTACCCAATAATATAATTATCTTGTCAGGGTCAATTTAATTTGAATAAATTAATCGGCACTAAAATTAGTGAGTTGACAATCGTCCTTCTTTCTCCGGTACTTCTTCGAACATGAAGTCACATGAAGATGACGACGAGTAGTAATTCGCATCAATTGAGGTTTATACATGCACAAATTATTTGTCACTGTCAATAATAAATTGCGTAATGCACGTCGCCCTGCTGTGATTGAACTTTTAAATAAACTACATCATCATCCCACAGATCATAATAATTCCACTCCATCCTAGAAATTACTCCATGGACGAACAACACACACACTCACAGATCTTTTCCACACATTAACATTTAACCAAGGACGAGGAATTAACGTGGTATTGTTAAGTCAGCTATAAAGTTAATGTTGATCTATGTATATGTACAGTCTGGTCGATTTATGTGTACACTGTGGGTTGGGTGGACTGGACGGATGAGTTAGTAATATTTATACACAAATATGCAGAACGAATGGGTGAACGTCAAATATTGACGCTGCAACTTATCACTATTTGGCTTATCAGTCAAATTTTATATACCCCGACTGAATGAAAAGAATGCTGATGCAGATTTATTTCTAGGAGGTACACGTTTTGGTCGTAGTTTCGTCTTTTAGAGAGCTGGCAACCTTGTCGAAAAGAGGTGCCACAGGAGGAATGTGGGTCCAAATTTGCGTTATGATCAGAATTACGAGTCTGATAAGGGGTTGATTGTGGAGGATTATCACAGCTCTAAAAATAAGTCTGGATAAGTGAAGGATAACAAGGATACTATCTTCTTCGAGGGATAGTTGGATGCCCCATGTCAGATTTTGTAGCATCGTCAAGCAAGATTTCTACCAGGTTGGGAATCTAAAAGGGTTGACGTTTACGAAAAGCCACGTTGTTAAAAGAAGCATGTTTGCTTAAGGGTGATGAAAATTCATGAGAGCACGTGAGTCATTCATGCCCGGGGGTCATACATATTTGCATAGGGAAGGAGTGATTGCGTCAAAGATCTCGGTATTCCAATGACGATGTGGAGATGGATGATCTCATGTTTTTTATTTTTTGCAATAGTCAACAACGTATGAAGTTTTTTATTGAGGATGGTAATACCCCATCTGTGTCATGCTAATTAGAAGTATAACAAATAAATAACATCGTTTATCATATCGTCAATGTGACGATGACTGATGATGATGATGCACAGTGATGATTTAATTTAAAATTTAAATTTAGGTTAGAATTTTTCGGATTTAAAGACACATCTGTCCACAGGATTTGTTTTTTTTTATAAATATAATTTATATATAAATATTTGACGGATTGGATTTGGAATAACAAGGCCATATGAATAGGCGCTCTGCAGAAAACAAGGGCACAGTCGATGCGCACACAGGTACGAAAATCTGACCCAAAATCAAACCAGGCAGGAACCAGGTTCTTATCGGTCTTGTTTTTCCATCAAAGTAAGACGCACATGTCCTTACTTTTTGTTGATGTCTAGTTTTGCTTGTTTTGGAGAGGATGGTGTGTCCCCACCCCCACCGGCAAAACTAGTATTTGATAAATTTGCCTGCTCCGGATCGATGTCCATTGGTTCCTTTTTTATGTACGGAGGTGACGTAGGCGCAGATTGTTGACCGCTATGATATGTCATATTAGTGTTGTTGCTGTAGTCGTAATAGTCGACATCGACAGGTTCCGGTTTGACCTCAATTTCTTCAACTTTTGTGATTGGCTCATGCTCATAAACGGGATCTGATTCATATAACGTAGTGTTGATTGGATTGCGAAGTAATTCTTCTTGTTGTAGTTGCAAAAGAAGTTTTTGTCGTCGCTGTTTTGGGCGTTGGTAGTCCCTAATTTTCCGAGAAGTTTGGTACCTCCGTTCGACAAAGACTTTCTTTTCGATTATCATTTTCTCCTCGTGGCTGAGCTGGTGGGTGTGGTAAAGGGTGGCTGCGGGGTCGAAAGAGTAGGGATTCTGATTCTTTTGCTTCATCCAACCGACGGCGTCTGCAAAGAGGAAATTGTTAACAATTTGTCAATTAATGAGTGGTTAAATAATCGCATTTATGCAATAATAAACTTACGAAAAATTGCAGATCTTTTCTGCAAGTTTAGTAGAGATGTTCCATTTCTTCCACGAAGGGTACATTTTTGAATCTCCTCTTGAGAAAAGAGGGCTTTAAATAGGATCCCTGCCGCGTGACAGATATCAGCTTGGACGAATGCTTTGGCCCAAAATTCCCTTGGAATTATAAACCCATCCACTTCCTATATTTATTTTAATTCAAGTCATAAGTAATTTAAATCAAAATTGTTTTAGTTAAATCAATAACCTACTTACAATGTCTTTTGACGCATCCTTATGCAACGGGACGCGAGCCCTTAACGATCTTTTTTCTGCCTTGATGTCTAACTTCTTTTTCAAGATTTGTTCAGGCGAAGTTGGATCGGAATTTAAAATTGACGATGGCGACAGCGAATTATTACTATTAAAAATCTGAAGATTATTTCGTAAAAGATTTGGAGAAGACGCCGTAATGTCAATAATAGTGCCACCCGTAGTCTGATTCTGGAGGGATGACGATACAATGGAAGAAGGAGAATTATTCTTATTAATAAGTGGACCAAGATTTAAGTTTAAGGCTGATTTGGAAGGCAAAATTGGAACGGGTTGTTGGGGGGAAAGTGAAGAGGGAGAAGGCAGAGGGACATGAATAAATGCTCCCCCAACTCCTGCGACGGGAAGGACTAGACCAGTTGAAGAATGTTGTGTTCCTGAAAATGAGCATGAAAACAGTCATCATTATCTTTTTGACCTTCCCAATTTTATGTGTTATATGTGCTGATTGATACCTACCTGGATTGATAAGTCGGATAACTCCGCTGTCCATCATGTGCGGTTGCGGTGGCCGACCCGAATAAGGTTGGAGAAGGTGAGGAAGATATTGTGTAAAATGTTGATGATGCTGTTGTTGGCTGCCCCCACTACTATTTGGACCACCTGGATCACTCCCGGTCTGTTTCTTAGAAGACGACGACGATGACGGTTTGATTATCGGTTGAAATGTATGAATTTTTCTCTCAAGTTGTGCTAATGTTCCTAACGGCTGTACAAGTTTTGGTTCAGACGATGTCGACTTATCAGTTGAAGGATCATGATGGGAAGAATTTCCTTTAGAAGGGTGCATAATTTCTTTACGTTGTTGAACGCTATTTAGAAGAAAACGTATAATTAGTTTCAATCATATCATCAATTTAAAAATGTAATTAATTAATCCTTACAAAGAAATTGGAACGTGTGGATCTGCAGCTGGTTGACTGCTTATCGATTGTGGAGGGAATGGTTTGTGAAGCGGATTCTTAACATGCAACGTTGGGGGGCCTTGCTTGCTGGATTGTTTCTGCATAAAAACGATTCCTCCACCTCCACTTCCGGCTGGAATCGTGTGTTGATGAAGAACCTGCGATCGCGATGGGGATGGTGGCGACGAAACGTTTTTTGTACCCGTACCCGTATTAGCCTTCCAAACTTGTGGTGTGGGGTCTTCCTTTTGTGTTAAAGCTGACCTTGTATTTGTAATGACGGATTTACGCTGAAGATGATGACCACTCCCACCAAGCCCTCTGCTCATTTCACCCATCTGCAGCAGCACCTCGGCCGCCTCTCGATCTTGCATTGTGATCACCATGTCTTCTTCTTCCTCTAAAAGAAATGAAATAAAATAAGAAATTATTACCAATTAATTTCCAAAACGAACGGCATCATGTTCATGTAAAAAATATCCACCTTCCGTAATGTGCACGTTTCTCAAGGCTTCATGAACTCTATCCTCGCCAAAATAATTAAACCCATAGCCCCCATAAAATGGGGGGACACCACCGCCACCACCTCGACGACCCTGATTATTATGATTATGATTCTGCTGCCAACTCATTTTTTCTGTTTTTTTATATTTTATGTATTTTTCCTCCAACACCGGACCGGTGAGTACAATCGGTATTTTTGTTTAACTAAAAAATTGTCACTATTAAACTGAGATTCCACAACTGTCCTTCCCTCTCTATCCCAATAACAAACTGCTGTGATGTGACAACGACAAGTGCTGGATATTATGTGACTACATCTTTAACACAAAGCGTATTCCTACCGTACCCGACCATAAAATTCCATCCATCCATTAGCGTACTCATCATGGATGTATGTGTGGTGAAACATGTACATATATGCATATACGTACTGGGGGTGGTGATAAGGTCACCTACACGGGTTATGATAAGCCTCTCACAAGCAATTAGCCGTGTTGACTATTTTAACAATCCCCACTTCAACTGACGGACTGCCTGATACTTAATGATGATGACCCTATAAAAATTTACAGGACAGAACATGACGAACCTGCTGGAACAAACACATTGTTTCAAGTACCTAAAATGGTCACGTGCGCCTTTGTTCGTATCGTATTATTCATCATGGAATATCATCGATAAGGTAAATACGGGGAAAAAAGTGATGACGAAAGTAAAATTTTTGGATACACAACATTTCGCATTATTGTCGAGTTCCCTTTAAATATTTACTCAAGTTAGTTTTGCTGACATGAAAAAAGTGAATGTTAACATCGCATTTTACTCGAAAAGGGTATGTTTAACGTTTTAGACTAATTAATTATGAATATAAAGTATGTCATTCCAGTATTTAATTGTAATGGTAATATAACGCTAAAAAACTAACATCTGCAATGCCAGGAAATTTGACGCTGGTGTTTGGTACCAACCACATTGCTGTATCTCTCTTAACTAACTGAATAAATTCTGTATTAAATCTTGAATTATATTTAATTATTTATGTACCCACCCACAGCAGAGCTAGACTATAATAGTGAATGGGTGTCCTTCAATGGTATACGGATTTCATCAAGATGCATGAAATATCCACTAATGTTATGTTACATCGTCGACCACAATTTAAGTTAATGCTCCAGTTTAATAAACTCAACTATATTTAAACATCTAACTTATGCCTGGTTGGGTTTGCTTGCATTGTATTTTTGTGTAAATGAATTCACTTCTCATCTCATCTCATGGATATGTATTGTATTTTGCATTATCATCACAATTTCAAGCTTCAATCCAACCAAACCACGCCATATGTACCTCAGAAGAAACAATTCGTAATTGTGAAATTGGATTAGAGCAACTACTGATTACGTTTTAATCAATCATTAAAAAAACGAGATGAACTTGATGAACGATAAAATTATATGATACCGAATTAATTTAATACTACTCCGAAACCGAAATAAAAAAAGTAAATCCCTTAATAGTCTTGGTCTGATTTAATTATTGAAATCCTTGTCCTAAATACTTAAACTCTAATCACTACTACTACATCCACCACCACTAATTAGTGTAACTATTAAATTAAGTAAATCTTAATTACCTTGTTTAAATATGACCGACTTGTTTTCTGTATAAATGCACGTCCACGTCCTCACCAGACCAGTCAAAACTCTCCAGTTGTGGTTTATTTTACACTATGCTGATAAGCCCCTTCTTCTTCTCCTTATCGGTTAGTTATCGTGTCCAGCACAACTTCCTTTAAAAAAGTCTCTTCTTCTTCTTGTCCAGTAATTCAATACTAACTACGCTATTTACAAAACGAGACGATCTCTGCTACTTAACTTTACCAAATCCCGACGTACTTTACAGTAATATAATTACTGTAAAATGAGAACAACTGAATTGAATCTCATACGTATTTTATTAGTTAGAAAGTATATATGCAAATATATGCGACGTGGTTGTCTGTGTGTGCGGAATGATGATGATGGAGTTTGAGCTGGATGGAAGAATCCTTTCACAAAAAAATACATGCGGTTGTTAAACCATACGACTTTAGTCGGATTGTATGTGACTACATGGTCTCAAATACATGGAATATCACACGATAAGAAATGTAGCTCTGTTAGATAGATAGCTCAACTTGCCTCAACTTGGTGCGGTGCACGGGCCTTTCCACACTTAGCACCAGAGCACGTCCACACAGAAAAGTGTGCATCATATTACAATACAACAAATGATCTGAACGAAAATCATTCATTTTATGGGTTATAATTTAATCAAAATAGCGGAAATAAGTTTTCAATTTTTTCACGGCGGTCTCGAAAAACAAAAAAGTTGTCAATTTTTGAAATTTAGTATAGAAATTATGGTAAAATTGCAGTATAGCGGCCTAGCTCGGATTTGACTGAAATTTTTTGTGTGAATACCCTAAGGTCCCATATGCATAAAAATACCTTTTTTCGCGGCGGTTTCAAAAAATAAAATTTCGAAAAATTTTTGAAATTTTGTATAAAAATAATTTTTCTCTTAGATTTTCATGAAAATGGCTTTTGAAAAAGGAGAGCTAGCTAGTAGTGCTACCTAGGAGAGCTAGCTAGTAGTGCTACCTAGGAGAGCTAGCTAGTAGTGCTACCTAGGAGAGCTATCTGGGAGAGCTAGCTAGTAGTGCTACCTAGGAGAGCTAGCTAGTAGTGCTACCTAGGAGAGCTATCTGGGAGAGCTAGCTAGTAGTGGTACCTAGAAGAGCTAGCTAGGAGTGCTGGAAACTAGAAATCTCATCTTACCCCGAAAATCTGATTTTACCACAAAATATTCCTATCGTGTGGGAAACTGAGACAAAGTCTTGAAATTCTCTGGAACATCCAAGAAAAATTTGTATACAAAATTTCAATAATTTATAACTTTTTTACTATTGAATGTTTTTCAAAAAATCTTTCATATTCTTGTTCAGCATAGTTTAATTAGTCTATAAAATCATTTTCAGGAAAATCTGAGGCAAAAAATAATTTTTATACAAAATTTCGAAGCTTTCTAGAAATTTTAATTTTCGAGACCGCCGCAAAAAAAAGTATTTTCTTGCTCAGGGGACCATAATAGGTATTTACACAAAAATTATCAGCCAAATCCGAGCTAGTCCACTGAAATAAATCCGAGCTAGGCCGTAATAATGCAATTTTACCAAAAATAATTTACAAAATTCACTCCCCAATCACTACAGAAGAGACTAAGAACCAGTTCAAAATAATAAATTAAAGAAGGAAGGTTGAAGTTTATTAATTATTTGGAACATTTGTTATAATTTATAATTAATTCTCCAGTATAATTATTCGACTTGAGTAAACAAGAGGAGAGAAAAACAGAACGAGAGTGGGCATGGATGAGTGTTCAAAAGTTGTTTTCCCACGTCCAAAAAGCATCCTCGCGAAAGAAACAGTCTATTCCAAGATATATTTTGTCGTATGATGGAATATGGCAGAACATGCATGAAGATAGCTCGTGTTTGGTCAAACGCCATGTTGCCAAAGTGAGGGCAAGGAGGTACATAAATGATGTCATGTTTTTCATATTTTAGACCACTCATCTCAACATGTGGGCGAAATGGAGTTGTCGTCAATCACTCGGACAGGTAACCCTCTTTTCCGACGACATCATTTATGACTCACCCCTCTCTGTAAAGACAATGATCATGATAGTGCAAAATTTTTATTGTGTGTACCCGATCATAGACATGTAGACCTCATCTAATATCTTGCTCATTTCTCATTTGAATATGGGATTTGGTGAGTGGACTCTTGACTTGAGAGTGGACACAAAAACAACAATACGTACGGAGAAGTTTATCTGTAGTAAGTTAGGTTCATGCGTCAGAAATTCTGTTGATTCGTTATGCAAAGATTAAATACCATACCACGACAGAAAAGGTTGAAGTGGTTAAATTGGCTCAATTAGTGGGGTTGGTTATCATATAAAGTCATGTAATCCCACGACGAGTAAAATAAATTGGTGGGTCAGTAGATGTCTGTATAGAAATTGAGAGTTGGGTGGGTTAAAATTTTTGTAGAGGCGCAGCTGCATACTTAACAAGTCATAAAAATTGATTAATATAGGAATGATAGTTGATCTTTTCTAGGAATCGGCAGGATTTTTTATCTAAACAATTTAGAGAAATAATCTGGACTCATGAACTGACAGAGGGACAGTTAAACAATGTTAGCCACCTAGCTTTCCTAACTTTAGATTTTCTATGAAAATGATATCATTGGAGAACAATTTCAGTTTGCTTATGTTGTGGATTTTTTTAATAACAGAGATAAGGCTTACAACTATTTAGGACGAGTACTACCACCGACAATTCCCATGTGCAACATGGTGGCGGCTAGTTGACCCAAATTTTCGATATCAATGTCTACTTGGTGATGATTCTGTTGTTCCATCTTGGAGCGAATTGTTCCCACTTCGTCATCTGGGAGTGGTCCGGATATTAAATCATTGTTATCATTGGACGACGTGGCGAAACCACCACAGCCGAAAAAGTCATGTAATCCGTCGTCGTCCTCAAGGTGTGATGCATTATCATAGTCATTAAGTCGAGTGGCGGTGCTATCTCCGTTCACATGTTCATCCTGTTTTGGCAGGTTAGGTATATTTCCTGGGAAATTTAGGGTAAAAACATTTACCGACGGATGTATGAGATATAATTTTCAATTGCGTGATAATGATTCTAGAGAACCCACCTGTGGCATTTATTCTCTCCCTTGCTTGCCTCCGCTTTTTGAGGGATCGTTGTTTCCCTTGCTTGACTTTAGGCTCTGTATCTTGGACAGGATCATCAACTTTTTCCTCCTTCGAACATCCCCCTCCACGACCACAGCAGACCTGCTTTCCCTCCCTCTGACTGGCACAACCACTCTTGGCCCCACCATCACTCCTGCAAATCTCGTCCTTGCCTTCGAGGATTTTCATTTGCCCCTTCACCTTTGAACTTTTTCCAATTCCTAATTTTGGAAGCCCCTTGTTCAGTCCCTCTAGCATGACACAGGCTTTACAAATCCGCATTGACGAGATGTACTTGCATCGCTCACATATTCCTTGTTTTGGCATTTTGATTCCTTCTCGAACCGAGAGTTGTTCCCCTGTAGTGGATAAATTTAGTTAATAATTTAGTATTGGCGTTTCAACTATTATAAATCTACTCTATCCTAACCTGAAAAAATTATGTCGATAATCACACGGGGTCGAACCCTCTCCAAATCTTTAATGAATGTTCGAACATGGCCTCGATACGCATTAGGTGAATAGATACACTCGGTGGAAAAATAGTCTAGCTTTTTGAAATAGGCGTACATCACAATTTCCTTTTCGTAAGTGTATTTAAACGGCTTGCAGCGTGGTAGAGTACCTTCAGCACCCTAAAAAACGAAACATTACCAACATTATCATTTCATTACTAAATTGTAATATCTAAACAAAATTTTTATAAAATTTTTGAAATATTATATTTACAGTAGTGATAGCCGTACATCTTTGCAATCGAGCTACATCACCACGAAGTAAATTCATAAAAATCGTCTCCGCCACGTCATCTGCATTATGTCCAGTCACAATTTTATTAGCTCCGAGTAAAACTGCTCCACGATCTAAAGCTTGGCGACGAAAGACGCCACAAAATGTGCAATTATTCTTCTTTCCAACCTGTCAATAAAACATGGCGAATTTTAATATTTCTAAGTTATGTAATATAGTTAAATGACAATAGTTATTAAATTCCCACTTTCACACCTCTCTCACAATTTCGTCCATCGTCCACCCGTACAAATCTTTGTAGGAGAGAATTGTCAAAGGTAACCCATACTCGAGCTCGTTACGTTTCACCGTTTCCAAACTGTCGTCACGATATCCTGTTGATAATTGATAAACACAAAAGTGTCAAAATTTCAAATATATTTAGCTGAATTTCTAAAAGTAACTCATAATCAATACCTGTAATTCCTTCATCCACGGACAACAAGACAAGTTGAAGTCCATAATTGTGTCTTTCATTCAGCAGCTTTAGAATATATGCCAAAACGGTCGAATCTTTCCCACCCGATGCTCCAATTGCGACAGAATCGCCCGGCTTGAAAAGGTCTCCTTTCACAATAGTTTCATGTACTTCAGCTTCAAATGCGGCAAAGAAGCAAGGTTGACAAAGAGCATGGCCAGTTTTTGGGCGCTGTAAATACAAAGATGATAAGTTATCATTGATCAACAAATTGTTTTGATTGTTTTTTTTATTCCAATGTTTTGAATCAAAACTTTGCCAAATTGTTTACCTTCATAGAAGCCTTGTTCCCACATTTGTTTTCGCAGTCTAACGGCATGCTAAGTTCGTTTTATAGCTTATCTGTAAAATTATTTACGTCATATGTCTTAATACTACGAATGATAAGGTGGAAGGATAACCAAAAATACCAAAATTAATTTGCACGTGGAGGAACGATTTCCTCAGGCAGTTCTGCAACTCGCTGACAAAATCGGAGACGAGTAAAAGTGAGATATTTTGTTACTCGATGAAAGTCTGATAGACTTGCACGTCGCAAAGTAATTTTTGATAGATAAATAAATAAATAATTAATTAATTAATAGTTAACTCTTACCTGGACAATTAACCAGTCTAGTTAAGTTAGTAATTTGAACTTAATGCATAATGTGAAATCTTTACTATGCAGTTGGGTGGCCATCAATCAACTAAATTTATAAAAGGTGTCAAATTATTGCAATTTTTAAATATTTTCATTTATTTAATTTCTGGTTTGCATCTTTTTTTTGCAGACAATTAATTATAATATGGAATTAATGTGTCTCTTCTGCTCTGCGCCTATCCCCGCATTGTTACATGAACCCTCACCAACCCAGACGGATAAGACACATTTCGAGCAAATATTCCGATTACTCTCGACCTCTTTATCCGTGGAAGAAGGCGTCGTGACCTGTTGGAACTTTGAAGATGAAGGCCTCCCCTTCTGCCCCCCTTGCTACGACAAGGCCCACTCCTACTGGGCCTTGTCTCAACAAATGGACTCCATTCAGCTCCAAATTACCATGATACTCGAAGATTTTAAAAATATCGTGCGAAATTCTGCAAAAAGAATTAAACAGGAGGAAGGAACAAGTCTTATCGCCCCTGTAAGGTCGACAAGATTCGACAATTTTAGACAGCAAGTCCTCTTCAGTACTGGACAAAACAGGGGGATTTGTTCACGAAGGTTGGCCAAAATTACTGGGCTAGGAGGAGGCAGTGATTCGGCGTCATCGTCGAGTTGGGATGAGCTGTCGAATGATGTGAGTGGCCCACTTGCACCAAACCAACACAATGATTGATTTATAAGATAAGATGTTATATTTTGTCGTAACAGGATGTCATGGATGGATCACCGAATTCTTGTTCAGAACAATCAGAACAAGGTGAAACCGTGCTATCACTTTTCAGTACAAATCATGGCGACATAATATTTAACTGTGAACCTGCACCTTGTACGAATAGTGGAAGTGACTTTGTAAATGAGTGAGTACATTATTTTAGTTTGTCATGATCCAAATTCAATAGGTCATTTTTGATTTCCATGTATTTTTGTCCATGTTTCGCAGATTACTACAAGATCCTGACGATCTGAAGAGTGCTTACAACCCTCAGTGGACAAGATCAATTGATAACATTGATATGTTTGGCTACATCCAAGTCTTCAAACCTAATTCTTCCTTTAATTATTGGAAATGTGGCGCAGACGAGTGTAACTATAAGTTTACGAATGAAGACAAAAATGATCCAAAACGAGCAATGTCGCGACACATTTTGAGCGAACATTATAATTGTAAGATGTAAATTATTAAATAATTAGTGCATCGACAATTAGTCGGTACATACTCGCAATACGAATGAATGATTTTTCTTAATGACTTTACTTATCATATAATAATAGGGAGAAATTGTCCGAGAGGTTGCGGTGTTACATTTAAATCCGAAGCAGAAACGGAAAACCACATTTGTCAAGGATCCAAAAAGAAAACTACAAAAACGTGCAAGAAATGTCAAGTTATTTTCCAAAATCTCAGCCTGCTAAGGGTTCATAAATGTCAATCAAAGGATGTTCCCTTATTAAGTAATTGTGAAACAAGGGATACTGAACATTCATCTTCTACAATGGAAAGGAGACCTAAGAATAAGAAATTGCCCTCAACTTTTAAATGCGAGGTTGAAAACTGTTTACAAATATTATCAAGCAAAGCTGCCCTTCAAAGACATATAGATCTGCATACTAAATCACCGGAAGAAAGGAAATCTACAGTTTGTGAACATTGTGGAAAAAGTTACTCGAAATCCCAGCTAGTGCAGCATTTACGCATATCTCATGGGGTAGGGACTCCATTGACCAAGTTTCAATGTCCTTGGCCAAACTGCACGAAAAGTTTTCCACACTTGACCAAATTAAACCGACATACAAAATCCCATGAACCGAAGAGAATACAAACTTGATCTTAGGCCGTACCAGTATTTTTATATCGCAACATTGTATACTTGTAATGTATGGAACTTTTTAAGATGAAACCAACTGATTTTAATATTTGTATCTAATAAACTATTGTAAGTAATTTATATTTGATTCATATGATTCACCATCCTTTCATGCATGAATAAAGTCATAAATCTTATATGCAGAGATTATAGAATGGTCAATAAAAGACACAGCTAAGGCGTTGTTCAAGTCGGAATATTTATTAGCCACAAAAAAATCTGTAAAACTACGTCTACAAAGCATGGAAATAGTGTTCCAGTCTTTCTCTTCATGCATGGAATTGAACCTAGGCCATAAATACACTACATTTGTAATTATGGGGATTATGTTCAAGCCAAGTAACAACCAAGTTACAGACAAGTTCGGACAGAGACCCTCCAGCTTGTGACGGTGGTGGTTAACAAATTTAAATAATCTGATTTAATTCCATGTTCCACTACACGTAAGCTAACTACTTATTTATCCTAGATGTAAGTAGTTAGGTTACTTTCCGTATTTCTATTCAGGCGCACCAGGATTGTCGCCTTTCACCATAAATGCCTTAAATGTAAGTAACCTAACAAATATTAGAGCGTTAGAGTTGTAAGCCAATTATTTTTTTTGCAAAATTTATATTCTATTTTACAGTTAAATATAATTAAGGATTCCATTTTGGTTACAGACTCGACTACATTTACAAGTTGTAGCGGCCCCCATGATTTTGCAGACATTTAATTTTACGATTCTACGGTACGCCTCCAAGTACCATTTTTAACGTTGACATTGTCCCAAACAAATATCTGCAAATTATTATATATTTATCATTTGTACTCATTCTTATTAATATTAAAACAATTATTTACTTACCTTCAAATTTCCAAATTTTTGAGATTTTCGCCCTTCGTATGACAAAATTTTTAAACGACTTCATCATCTGTAATTAAAGTACTGGAGAGTTAAAGCTTGAAGTTTGTAATTAAATATGCTTGCTTACATTATTATGAAGTTTTAACATTAATATATTTAATATTTCCAACCAGGACTTCGTGACTCGGCCAGAGAAATAAAAAGAAGGGGAGGATATCGAAGGGATGGAATTTCCTGGCTGTTGTGCGCGTTAAAAAATCTTCGATCAATAATCACAGCATACAAGATGCGGGTGGTGGAACTGACACCCGGGTAGTATCCAGCTTTTGGGAATTTTTAGCCCAATTTTGTGCTATGCAAAGCTTTCTCTGCTTTCTCTCCAAACGTCAACGCTCCCATGAACTCGCAATTTTCCCCTTAAATCCTGACCTCATTGTTTACTCATTATGCAATTATAATTAATCTATGACAGAACAAACGGTTATATGTATGTAAAAGAAGTTTGATGTAAGAACCCATATGCTTTTTAGTCTTTAGTATGATTTATTTATTTCAGTCTCATCTTATATTTTATTGTCGCGTAGTATACACATTAATAATATTCTTTTTACATGAACTTAACTTACTATATTTCATTTCATAACTTATTCAAATATTTATTTCAGCAAAGTTAAAATTAGTTGAGTGTGAATTAAAATTCTATAAAACTAACCATTATTTTTATACAATCTACAAAAAAGGTGCTCTTTTTCTCCCATTTGTAAACTTCATCCCTTTAAATCTATCATATTTACACGCACAAATAATTAAAATTAACAATTCCTGAACAAAATAACATCCCAACAAGACTGGCAATTCTATAAAGTGAAAATAAAATACTGAACATTTTTTTCAACAATTTTTATGTACACTAAAACTTCTTACTTACGCTACAAAACAATACAGAAATACTTTGGTGGATGGATAAGCAATCTAAATGTTAAAAAACCAAGCTCGATTCTAGAAATCTTCAAAAAGCTGAAGTTCCTCATCCGGGACGGTTTTAGACCTCCATGATTCCAATTCTGGGTAGTCGTCAAAATTATGAGTGTCCCCTTCCGACGATACTTGAGGAATGATGGGTGGCTGTGTAGGAACAAAAAAATAAGTGAAAAATTGGCAAGGTACATATTTATGCAAATTTTAGCACAATTCACTCACCGGCAGTCTACGGTTGAGCACATCATCCCAATCAAAATCTCGGAACCAGCGATGTTTCTTAATGTCATCGACACCATTCTGGATGAAATAACGAATAAATTTGATATTTCAAAAAAATTATGAAGTTACTAAATTCTGGACAAACCTTCATGCTCCCCAACCGTTTAAATCTGTCAGGTACGAGAAGTTTCTTCATGAGATCTTTTCCTACTGGATTGATCCACTTCGGCCAATCGATTTTCGCCTCTAAAATCTTTTCATAAGTTGAAAAATTGTTGTCATCGAAGAATGGGGCGTAACCGCAATGCATCTCGTAAATTAGAACGCCTGAAACGCATAAATAGTAAAATTGCAGTGAAATGACACAATTTCAACCCATAATTGACATACCTAATGCCCACCAATCCACGGCCTTATTATGACCTTTTGACTGTATAATCTCTGGCGCTAAATATTCCGGAGTTCCGCACAGCGTCCACGTTCTAAATTGTAAGTATTAAGTAATTTAGTAAATATGAAACACATCAAAACTTGACATACAAAAATTACCTGTTTTTCAGAAACTTTGCAAACCCAAAATCCGTCAATTTTAAATGACCGTCTCTATCAATTAACACATTCTCTGGTTTCAGGTCCCGATAAACGACACTCTTTGAGTGCAAATATTCCAACGCCAGTACAATTTCGGCCGCATAAAAGGCACCTATTGCAAAAAAAATCATACATCTGCCTCTGCATCAAAAAATTTGCGAAAAATAAGCTTACACGTCGAGCTCGGAAATTTTCCAGCCGATCTCAAATATGAGAATAATTCTCCTCCACAGACATAATCGAACATCATGTAAATGTTGAACTCATCTTTGCCATGCCACGTCCTAAAAACATGAATAAAAAAACCATCAATTTTTTCCACTTAATTAATTCCTTCGCCCCGAAGAAAACTGAACTACGCATTGTGGACACAAATAAATAAAAATTCATCTCATGCACGAAACTAATTCATCATCGTCCATCATTCCATTCCACAAAATTACACGTAACGTATAACCACAACCCATCAACGCTTTTGGGTTGCTTGCTTGCAAATATTTCGCAGAAGCAAGACTCAACTCAACCACATGCCAAAACGAGACGCAGAAATAACAAGACCTTTTATGGCACAATTAAATTTATCTCAGGTCTTCACAGTAAATTGGAAATTCGACAAGATCCATTTGCATGAAAATATATTCATATGAAAACACATTCGCGAATTTTTTCGCAAATTCATCTACATACATACGAATATAATTGCAATAGGAGGAAAAATTGGTATAAATATAATTTTCCGTCTCAAACTCTTTGATTGACATGGTTATCTTTATCACATTGATTATCTCTCGCTCCGACTTGTTTATGTTTTTCCTGCAACTTTTTGGACATAAAGATTTGACAGGACGAGTTTCACATTGTCAGTCTTGCTGCCTGTCAATACGTCGACGTGACTGGGGACATGGTGTCGTCAAATTGGCAGTCGCCTCGCCACTACTACTTATTTGATGGGCATGCATGCATAATAAATAGTCTCGTGTTTTATTACACTAATTCCACATTTAGGAAACTTAATACCTCAAAAATGCAAAAAAAAACTTATTACATGTTCACAATAAAGGGATGATGGACCGCTTGCAAAATGTTTTTCTCGTTCTTGACATGATCCACCTGTGAAAAATATGAAAAAATATGTACAAATATGAAATTTATTAAAACTTGACGTAAAAAATTACCTGCTTCAGTCGGATGAGGTCGGGCAGGGCCAGAATTTTGAGGGCGGAAAATTCCAAGCTGTCCTTTTCCTGGGGGTCAGATAAAATATTTCAGGTCACCGAATTGATTAATTAATTGCAGTTTAATTTACCTGGACGAGAACAACCCTTCCGAAAGTGCCAGTACCTGCAAATGCAATGCAAATAGAAGAAGAAATGCAAATTTATTAATAATTTTTTCACACGGACGACCTAATCCCGACCTGGTTATCATAACATAACTCGTAACATTTCCCATTTACTTTGCATTGCACAGCTTGGATTATTTTTTTGGCAAATGTGACCCGAAATCGGTGTCAGTGTCTCTCTCTCTGTGCGTCATCAGAAGGAAGCAAAACATGTCCACGGACCATTAGTTCAAGACCAACAGTAAATAAATATAGTACGCTCTCGTACGTACGTACGGATAAGATGAGCACACTTTTCTACCAAAAAGCTTTTCAAAATGGGAGAAAATGTCAATACTTTAAAAAGTTTGTGCAGCTGTTGTGTTACTATTTTTTAGCATCCCTAAAAAGATTTTTTCACGGTCATCGTGACCTTGTCTCGTCGTCGGGGTTCAAGTCTTTTAATTCTCAATGTTTTAAACGAAATATATTTAAATGCACAATTTTTATTTTGGGATGAAGGCAAACAAATATCAAAACAAAGCAGCAAAAATATTACTCCTTGGTTTGGTTTGGTGACGTAAAACAACAAAGGTTGACTTGACGGGTCCATCAATTTCTAAAATGTTTATATACATCAAAGCTAAACCCACGTAGGCAGAAAATCTAGTTGTATATGTAACATTTAATTTTTAATAAACCAAAATTTAATCAGTGCATCTTCTTCTTCTTAAATGCATTATTTTTTACGACTTCCTTCCTTCCTGCCCTAAATGATCCACCCCCACGATAAGTAAATCCATCAAGTGAAGCACCTCTCATTCACCAAACGGAAAATCTATCACGTTTTTTTCAACTATTATTCTTATTTCAGACGATAAATCAAATCTGAGTTGATGAGAAATGACCTAGACGTAATTTAATTCGACACTCGTAATAATGAAGTGCAGTATTGAACTTCAAAACTCCTTACATATAAAAAAGTGAGAGCTAGATATACATTTTTAATTTAACGAGTTATTGGCCTGTCCTAAAAAAACATCAAGAAATTACATATGTATATTTCTTTACTATATACTTCCTGACCACTTAAATCATCTTCTTCTTCCTCTGACTCCAATTTGATCATTTTGGCTTAATTATTATTACGAAATGAGACATGATCATGTTCCTCTTTGATCCCTCCATTCTTGGAGGATGAGAGTTGCCTTCAGTAAAAATGTAATTACATTTTCTACCTACTTAGCAATGTCACTCGGTATTGTGTTTAGACGGTCAAGTGGACCGTTTAGTAGTTTATGTCGTCTTCTGGACTGGAGTGCCAATGTACAGAAGCATTTAGTAACAAACAACTACTTGAGATTTTTTGGGCTGTTATTTCATTAAACATTTCGTGTCAAATTCCAACACAACTAATTACTCAGAGACATTGTAGATGATAATACACTTATCGTTAGATTTGGTGCGTGCAGAAAATTGACCTCCACCCACGCTTTCTACGAGTAAAGTAGAGGTACTACTTAGAATCTCAACTTGCCTCCTAACTAATTGAGTCGTCATCTCCTAAATTTCTGCATCCAAGTCAAGACCACAAAACTACATATTTTACAGACACAATTTCGTATTTAGTATTTTGCACCACTACAAAAATTTGCATCATCACTTTCAACAAAAACGACCTACTTTTCCATAATCATATTTCCATTTTCCATGTAACCCGTCAATCAGTCTGTCTCACTTTTTTTCTGTAAATGGTTTTTTCCATTAGTAAATACAAGCCTTACATATTAAGTAAATGGAATTTAAATGCAAATAGTTTGTGTCGACTCCAATCTGTCATCGGCTCATCAACTTGTACATATCTTTTTATTAAATCTTTGTCATCTAGTCCACAAATGGGATGAGCTACATGGTAAATAAATACATCTCATCATTTTATTCCGTCTGTCTGTCTGCCATCGTAAAAAATAGTTTGTAAATTTTTTTCATTAACTTGAATTATTTATTCCTGTAAGAATTTATTTACTTACTAAAAGTATTTCAAGTGAATGATGATTATGCATTGCTTGCTTACATAATTGTGGGTGACAGATGACACGAGGCGAAATGAGATGAGATGAAACAAAGACGACAACATAACATGACCACAATTCAACCACACCTTTGTTGTATATGTGTAAATAAACTGTGGAAAATATGCAAATATTTTTAGCCAAGTATTTGGTTTTACATAACGTAAAATATGCAGTGTAAATATTTGTAGTGCTCCCTAAAATGGAAAGAATTGGCACACCTATAATTTTTCCTCCAGGAAAAAAGTTGTGAATGAAAATATTAAATTCATCATTTTGCAAATATTTTTGCGAAAATATGTCCCTTTTAATGGGCGAGGTTGCATTGACTTGACTTAATTGCCACTTATCCTCAATAAATTAATCATCCATCACTTAAACTTAATCGAATAAAGGACCGCCCCATTTAAGGCGTAAATAAATAAATAAATAAAGGAGCTATCTACAAATATGGCGTGAAATTGAAATTTCAACAAAAAATATTATTAACTAATTGAATATTGATGTCGAATAATTAAAATGAGATCATTTTCACTTCATATCCAAATCATAAATGTCACCGCGGACCAAACCAAAAAATGGTGGACAAAAAAACTTCTTCAATCAAAACGAAAAATAATTTATTTGTTATTGCAAAATCATATTGAAGAAGAAAAAAAGTCGTAAAAATAGCTCGATTTTTTACCCTTATCTTTCCAAATCTTGTAATCAAATCTGTGCACTCATTTAATGAAATGAAGGTGACAACTCGTGTATTTCTCTCTCGGTTCACTTGGCAAGCGATAAGATAAGATCATCATCTCGAGAGGAGGAAGATCATCCTGGGATGATTTTTTTTTCATCTCTATTTAAAATATTGTTTGCACATCTTCTTAACTTCCATCCATATTGATATCCATCCCTTTGGCTGCCAAAAAAGATGCCAGCCACGTAATAGCAGCATCATCTAAACTAAATTGGTGGACAGGTACGGAGGAGGATTTCTGATTTATCACACCAACTGCTTGCTTGGCTTAAATTTAAATTATATATTCCTCAGCCAAAGTGTAAATCTCTCTTCTTCTTAGAGACGAGATGTCCAAATTAATCAAAAAGTGCAAGCCAGCCAGCCACCCACCCCCACACCAAAAACCAAGTCGATCCGTCCGTAGGGAGGTATAAGGATCATACATTTTCTTCAAATTCGCACACCCCGTGCCAAAAACTGAATTGTGAATTGAATCGAATTGGCAGACTGCACGTCTTTCTTTTCCTTGTACGCAGTATAAAATCATCATTAGCTAGCATGGCTCCTAATTAGTCGACTAATTAATTGCGCAGGAAAACAAAAGCGGTGAAGATTAGATCAAATGATAACGATGATGATACCGACTGGTTACAGACGAAATTTTTAGAAATTTTGGGGCTGACGGACTATAAAATAAAGTATTATTGTTATTATCTCGTTATATACCTACCACGCTTACAATACGTGACTCCAGATTTTTGCGCAGTTTTACAAAATATTTTTCGTAAGAATAAATTAGATTCGACGCGGTCATAAAATTGGAGAAAATAATGTACAAAACCCGCCCCCGAGTTCATCCTTTAGTCGTCCATGAACTTAACTTAAATTAAATTAAAAACCTGACAAGAGACCACTATAATCCAAAATTATTGCCTTTATTTAAACAAACATTGCATGATTCCACAATTTGGTATAATCTCGCCATAAATAACATAAGTTCTCCAGAATCGTGCTTCCACTACGTATTTTTTGCCTACTTTTCCCAAAATTGAGAACCCAACCCAAAAATTTTGCTTCATTTACAAGATAAAGGAATGTCACGCCACGCCACGCCACAAATTGGATGGTCGTCTTAATAAAATTGTAAAATTACAGACGACAGACAACATTGTTGGACTCCGGAGAAGGACATGTCCACATCTTTAAGAGACGACTTCATTCATACAATTTAAAAAAATCCGACCATTTTGACACGTTAAAAAGAGGGCATGATTTTAGTATAAATATGGAATTTATGTGGCAGCTCGGCAACAATTTCAACCCACGGAAGAAACAAGAGGGGCCAATTAAGCTGCGAAAAGTTGGACAAAAACAAGCTTTTCTTATCATCTCATTAGTCGATTGCATGCAAATTAAATGATTCTGTATTCCGAGTGTCATGTAATTCGCTAATCTGCCACTAAATCTAAAAATTATGTGGTCTTGAGTCTTCTTGTGCTAGGTTAAGGTTTCGAAGGACGAGGAGAGTCAATTAAAGTTAGTTTTTCATGAAAAAAGTTACCTAACTAAATATATAGATAGATGGATCTAAATGCATAAGTACTTATGTAAATTGACAGGTGGGTCCGAAATGTCAATTCATTTAATCTCCATTTAATTGACAAATTGACAACTAACCTGGCTCAAATCGAGCTATCTTTTTTCGGAATCGTAAAAACTTCAGTCCAGTTTTTAGATTTTGTTTAAATAATTGCGTGCAATTCACGTGGCAATCGAATCCACATTCCATTAAATCGGAGAGGATTGAACCTTTGTTCAAGGTTTTGGAGGACAAATGACTCTAAATTGCTTTAGTATTGCCCGATTTGTACCGCTTAGATATCTAAATTGCAGCAAATAATTTCTAGAAATTTCGAAAGTCATGACTTTTGATTGACCATCATTAAATATGTCACTCTATCCGTTCCATCCATATTTTATTGCAAATATGACCGGTCATGCCATATAATAATGAAATGAATGCACCTGTACGTACCACACCACCACCAATTCATTCACTTAAATGTTGTTACCAATATGGAAACTCAGAGTCATTAGGGGAAGAAAAAGAGCACTTTAAAATTCAGTCGTTGCGTGTGTAGGCGTCATATTTGTATTTCTTTAAATGCCACCAACTAAAAATCTATCCCTATCTCGTTTTGTCGTGAACACTGCTAATTAA